ATCCAAATCCAATGACAAACTCAAGTGTTTCTGCGAAAAGAAGGCTGGTAGCTGTAGAAAATATCATTATAATATAGTAGGACTAGATATATACATATATATATTTATTATAACCCATACAGCTTGGAAAAACTGATCATGGTCATGAACTACCCGCTGGAACGCATATCCAAACTTTCAATTCCCAGTTAGATCCATTGAAGGAAGAGCATCCTTTGTTGGAAACATGGTTTATATCTCAAACCCAACTTGGTAATAATCTCATGAATTCAATCCGGTTATCGTCACCAGTTGACTGACGAATCATGGCCCATCTAAGGCAAGTAACTTCCCAAAAGATTTTTCTATGTATATGTTTTCTTATGCACACACAAACACATATCAACACGTCTATAGTGGCACAGTTCAAAAATATAGTTCAATACACATTATATTACCATTTTTTGATATAACACATTTTTAACCATCAGAATCGCATGCATGCAGACATCCATACACATAAATACACATATATATATATATGTATATTTACCGTACATATCTGTACATATATACTATACATGCGTAATATGTTGCATTCAACTCAAACAAATACTGAAATGACAAAGAACTCTTCAGATATCAACATGATAGTATAAACGCAAATATAAATGTATTTAAGATCAACATTATTATCCCCAGAATTCCTATCGTTCGACCAACGCCAACTTAACGATTCCGACCTTGAGGTGGCTCGCTCTTCGCGAATTTGCACCAGGGCGAGTCGGTGATTGATCTTTTGAATGCCATTGAGGTGACGGGCCGCCGTGAACTTTTTATATTTTTTTTCATGTCAAATGTAATGTAGGCTGCCTAATAATAACCCACCTCCATATAAATTTTGTTTTTATTTGTTTTTGTTTTAGGGGGGGCAGTCAGCATTCCAATAGTAAATTCCTGGAACCCTATGGCTGGGATCATGATATATATCTGATAGATTCTCCATGGTTTTGTTGGTTTTTTGATGGATTCTGAATGGATTTGTTAGGGTTTCTGATAGGTAGGGTATGGATTTTGCATGGATTGGGTTTGTTTTTTTGGCAATACTAAAAGTAAATTAGGCTAATTGACTTTTAGTATTGGAGAAAAAACTGGAGTTGGGAAAAACAAATCTACTATTGCCATGTTGGGTCCACTATTGGCCATGCCCTCTGGACCAGGTCAGAACATGAGTTTTTGGCAATACTACAATCAAATTAAGCTAATTGACTTTTAGTATTGGAGATAAAACTGGAGTTGGGAAAAAGTTTCTACTATTGACAAGGAATCATTATTGGCTAGACAACATAAATACATGTGACGTGGTTGAAACTGTCATGATTTGTAATTTCTGGTGTTTATTTCGCACTTGTACATGTGCATATATACCAGTACTACATTTTACATAATCGCACACCCGCGTGTAAATGAATTTGCATGCATAATACATGTACACCCTCCTGTAAATTGTCGTGGAAGAAATCAGCAATGGATCGTTCATTTTCCACGCCTGCCCAGCCAGGTGGACTACTGTGTGTCGCTGGGCGAGAGAATATTTGGTGGTTTTCCAGGCGTTTTCCAAAAGTGACGGAGCGTTTTGAAGCGGCAGAAATAGGGAGAGAAGATCAAATGGAGGGATAAAAGATGATAATGGGGATAGAATAGGGACATGATGGGATATTAGCGGAACTTGAGAATGATATTCTCTCCAGTTTCATCAAACATGGCAGATTCTACAATCCACCGGTTTGTTGATGTTTTTAGAAACTGGAGCTTGAACCTATATTGATGTATTCAAACATGTTTGATTGAACCTATATTGAACCTATATTGTTGATGGGGATTAAAAAACATTGATACTTTTTGATGACTTCCTGTTTTTTTTGTGGCCAAATGATTGGGGAAAAAACCAGCAGTAACCGGACCCGGGGACCACCGAGATGCTGCTGGATGATAGCCTCTGGTAAACTTAAATCCCCATATATGAATGGTACCCTCTGGTAAACTAACATAACTATGGAAAATCACCATTCATGGGAAAATCCACTATAAATGGGCTATTTTCTATAGCTATGTTAAATTACCAGAGGGTAATATCCAGTGTATAATATCTTATTAACCAGTGTTTAATCACCAGTATTAAACTAACATAGCTATTGAACATGGCCCAGTCGAAATAGTGGATTTAGTAAATGGCCTGTCTAGATTTTTCAACATAGTTGTGATGCAACTAATAAGGACAAGGATCGCTGGTTCGTTCTCTCAATAGCATTGTTAAACTGTGTCAATGGAATTTATGACCTGAGAAAGTGGGTATGATGGTTTCTGAATTGTTCAATTTCCTCCCCGAGTGAGCCAAAGTTTGCTAAAATCATTACAACCCATTCGAAACCATGGTTAGTCTTGAAACTGTTCATTTTTGGATCCCATATTGGGGCTTTCCAGTATTGCAGTATGTAGGGTAAGGGGATTATCTTCCTAAGATTTCAGGGTGCGTGCGTGCGTGCGTGCGTGGGTGTGTGTGTGTGTCTGCACTTGCCCAGCTTGAAGCATCAGCTGGCAGTTTGCGATTCCGCTTTGGAACCTTCATTTGGTTGAGGGATTTTCCAGCCAGTTGGTGGGAGGATAGCCCACTTGTTAAACCTGAGTTGCTCACTAGTCCCTCAATTGTAATCAAATTATGAACATATTATTGGGGATATAGCCAGGGGATGAAACCACATATTTGGGCCGATTTATGGGGTGTTCATTCAATATCGGGGGCGTGGATAATTGGTCACTGACCCAGGTGAAATATTTAAATCTAAAGTGGAGATCCTGTTCCATATTATAATGCCAGATCATAGGTTTGTGGGTGGCCCTGACAATTAGGCCTTGCCATTGTATATATTACATTTAGTAAATTTAGTAGATTGTACCTCCAAGTTTGGCACGTGAACGTGATGTCCATCGGTTTGTTCACGCCCCATATGCTGTTTGTTAGTATATTTCCAAAGTGGTGCCCCTTAGTTTTACAGGTTCTTACAAACAACTCATGCGATTGTGGATATATCAGAAATGATTCCAGTATAGTCATTCTCGTTACATACCATACCAGATTCATCAGTTTACAAACACATCTGATGCTTATTGTAAACCAACGTGTCACATTTCATTACGTATACAACCCATCTTTGGCCCGACATTGTGTCCATGAAGTCGGTTCCTCCAGATGTTTACACATTGTTCCTGACTAAATACAATTTTTTTGTTTGGAATTAGTTTTTTTTTTTGATTGCTAAATCCCTACCAATGACAAGATGTTTCAGATATCTACCCATGGTTGCTGCTTAATTTCCTGTTTTTCTGGTTACACATCGTGCCCTAAGTGCTTCCATTTCTTTAAGCTTAAGGCTTGGCAACCATGAGTTTGACTACGGGGCCGAGAGAACCAAGGTCCACGTCGGAATTTTGTTTGGGATACATTGGGGATGTGCGACCCCACCATGGCCATCATTGTTTGTTGGATATATCATACCCTCTGGTAAACAAACATAGCTATTGAAAATGGCCATAGAAATAGTTGATTTACCCATTAAAAATTGTGAATTTCCATAGTTATGTTAGTTTACCAGAGGGTATTATCTAGCTACAGTATATCTCCTTTGTCTCACATGGGAATGGGACATGATTTTCCCACTTGAAGGGGAGGGAGCACTCAGAAGTACCATGCATTTAAACGTGAAAACAAACGTGAAAACAAGGGTGCTTCACGGTTTTGATCCATAGCGATCTCGCTGCTTTTTGTTTTTTAGTTGAACCTCGAACAGCTTGCAACGTCAAGGTCCAGCTTGAATATGATTTCCAATGCTGTTTCTGGATCTATGGAACTGGAAAATCTCACTGGGTATATGTCATTATATCTAACAGTCTTCCACTCATCGAACTGGGGCGCATGTCATTATAGATCCTGTAAATAACTGTGGCTGAAGTTTGGTTGTCACCGCGGATCCAATGCCGAGGCGCTCATGAGCCTCAGCCGTTTCCCATGGCTGGGCTCCAACGTACGCACGGCCGAGAGTTTCCCGGGCGTAATCCCTAACCAGATCTGGGAGATGAAACTGGGTGGATTTTCATTGAGTTCCATTGGCTTTTTTTTTAATGGATATGGCAACAACGGTTTCTTTGGTGAAAATTATGGCCATGCTTGGCTTTGCTTGGCAGGCGAAGTGTGTGTGTGTGTGCGTGTTCTATTTCGATTTCTTATTGATATCTAACCGTGGGTGATGATGGTAAGTATTGTGTAATGATTACTCTAGATTTGGTGACTGTACAATCTTTTAACGAATCTTTGAACGCAGCTGCAGATGGACTTATGTTTAGGAAATTCCGGCTCCCCTCAACTTCTTTTTCCTGCTAGTAAATATATATCCAAACCGGCCCTGATTTGGTGATCCTCAACTTCCTTTTTCGCTGCTACTAAAAATGTCCAAAACCGGCTGGTTTGGTGAGCTCACTTTGATGGCACGTCTTTGGGGAATATCGATAAATATTAAGGGGATGGGATTCTGATAGTAGGTCCGGAAAGTGGGGAAATCCTGCGTTTGGCATCCTACATCAAATCGGTTGACTGTGGCTTACTGGGGCACAGTTGCCTCCACTGAGTGGAATTTCAGGTTATTTCTAACAGCTACAGCTACACCAAGTGTTCAGTTCTCCACCAGAGATGGCTGAATACAGTAAGTTGCATAAATTGTGTGAACCCTCCAAAACTGGAGGTTTACTTTGGGGTTTACCATGTTGACATTAAACAAATTGAGATCTTTACAGTTGTGGCCCTTTACCAGTTACAAGTACGTATAACCCCATTTATAGAATGTATAATCCCATTTATAACCAGTTATAACTAATAAATGGCCTCAACTGTACCACTGATTACATCGCCGTTTCCCTTCTTGGTCTTCTTCCCTGCAGCCGTTTGGGCTCAGCTGCTTTGAGCTTTCTATTCCCAAGAAGTTGTGACTGGGAAGCTCCCCAGCTGCCAGGGAGAATCTCGGCGTTATTTTGCTCGGATCTTCGGAGTCAAAAAGATGTAAAAAAAACGAGAAGTTTATCAAATATTTGATGTTTATCAAAGTCATTTAGTTGCACAAAAATGATGTTTATCAAATATTTGATGTATAAACAATCGGTGAATATATGAAAAAAAGGCCCAGAATGGTGAGTTTCACATGTTTTTCTCCGGCTTGAACATGCGCAGAAAGCATGACCCAGATCTGTGACTTACTTTTATGAAGCCCCTGCAAAAAATATGTTATGCGAGTGATGACTACATATTTCTAGGGCGATGTGGTTGGGTTATACTTCTCAAGTCCCACGAGCCAGCTGAACATGGATCCAGTGGTGCCGTTGGTGTACAGCATCCTAGATTAACAAAGCCTGGGCCGCTTTTAGGACCACAACGAATACTATCTCGTGATCAAAAGAACACCAGCGAGGAATTGCTGGGTCAACCTTGGATTGTTACTTGAACATGGAACTTAATCATTTGCTTTACACATGAGATTTGCATATGTAAACATATTATAAAATATTTCAAAATACAGTGAAAGCCTAGCTGCGCCAAAAACAGCGTGCAGGGTGCCCTCCGATATTTTTGAAAAATATGGCAATGGACAATCAGCACAAATCATTGAGAACATCCAAACCTTTCAGGTGTCATGTGGGTTCTGGGAGCCAGCCCAAAAATGTCGCTGTCACAAGGTACAAGGTGGCGCCTACCCCAGGCTATGTTTGTTGGTAAAGACCATGCAACTAGTTCGATATATTTGCCTCAAACCCGAAAGGTAACTTACTTATAAGCAAACTTCACTATGATAAAGCAGCTACAATTGATATCATATATATATATATATATATCCATTGTTGGTTAAATGACAATTTTTGTTGTTTGATTTCCAAGTTTTCGCTTGTTGTTCTGTGTGGGTAATTCACCATTTTTGTTGGTTAAAATCTAGCACCCTATAGGAATTGACAGCCAGGTTTCTAGGTGCGGTGGCGCCCCCAGCGGTTTTGCTTGTTGCTTTCAAAAAGCATTAATACCATAGGATAGTTGACTAACTTAGCAAACTCAAATCAGCCATAGATTGATTAATTATCTGTATGAATCTATAAAAATCCTATTTTATTTTGGTTCAACCACCATTTTTTGTTAGTTAAACCAGTCACCTGTGGGGCCCATTTCCAGGATCATGTCCTCCGATGACCTACTGGGCGAGCTCCGCGCGCCGCGCACGAACAGCAGTGACTTTGCGCGATTTCTGCGAAGCTGGGCAGCGTTTTCCGGAGAAATGGTGGAAATTCCTCGAATGTCCGGATTGTTTTTTTGGATATAATCGGATATAAGGAACTTTGTTTTGGGTGGATTGTTTTCGAGATTCTTTGGAGGATTTGCTGGTGGATATTTTCGGATTTCTGTTCGGTGTATTTTCTTCGGAAGTGTTGATGAAGGCATCTTTTGGCGGGGTTCGGACATGTTTTTTGTGGATTTGTGTTTGAATTTTTGGAGCGTTTTTCCGCAAGTCACAAAATTGGAGTTGAAAAGGAGAAACATCGCGATTTCAGCGGGAAACATCGCGATTCAGAAGAAGATTCGAGTCGGGGTCAGCAGCATTAAAATTCCACCGACGCATGTGGGTCTCAGCAGTCCACCGTTGTAACATTGGTGGTTTCACTGGGACGCTGCTGATTTTATCTACAAAATCCGTTTTTTTTCAACTGAATGTTTGGATGAGACGAACATCACGGATTCAACTGGTACAAACTGTATTAAGCGATACCGCAATTTCCCTCGCATTTTCCGTTTCATTTCATTATTAGCAGCTTAATCTCCTCAGTTTTTTTGCTTGCTTGGAAACCCTAAACGAAATCCATGGAAACCAAAAGAAGCCTGTAGAACCTGTAAAAACTCCATTAAAACTGAAACCCCACCGAAACCCATAGAATTTCACACATGTTCATTAAACATCCACTGGACACATTTGGAAACACATAAAAAAACACAAACACACAATTATATTAAGAACCTATTTCAATATATAGAAGTACTATAAGCAGGCCATTAGAAGAACAACATAACTACAACCATCAAAGGCAATCGATAAATCAGCTGCGACGAGATCCAAGGAGAGCAGCTCCAGCATTTGGAGACACAGCTGCTGATGGCGTATGGCGAAGTGGAGCCATGGCCAGGAAAAACAATAGGGATTACCCTCTGGTAATAATTAACATAGCTATTGAAAATTGCCCATTTATAGTTGATTTATCTATGAACAGATTGTGATTTTCCATAGCTATAATAGTTTACCAGAGGGTAAACAATGAAACATAAGAAACATAGGTATTTCACAGCATTTCAGCATGACAAAGAGTGATTTACAGAAGCAGAAGCCAACAAGAATAGATAGTTCACAATCAAAGACTAGCAACAAGAATATATAGTGATTTGAAATTGAACCAGCAAAGAAAAGGGTTTAACTGTCATTCAACCATCAAAGAACAAAGCGCTTTGGCTTTAACCAACACAAATAGGGACTGTATTTAACCATCAAACATATATGCAGCTTTTAGCCATGAAACAAAAAGGGCTTAACCATCAAACATAGGGTTTTTACATGTTTTGACCATCAAAGGGATTCAACGATCAACCAAGGATAAACAGTTAAGCATCAACACTAGGTACTTAACATTGATAAGCATTCGACTGTCAAAGAGGGATAACTGACAACTGAAAGATCAAACAAAGTGTTTTAACCATTAAAGATAAGGATTTACCTATCAAACATGTTTGAAACATAAGGATTCAACCAATCTATCATATATATATATCCGTTTTCGATGGTTAAGTCAAATCCAAAGCTTTGTTGGTAAAATCCGCATCTTTTTTTCTGGTCAAACCCCATTATCTTCTGGGGTTCCTATCTTCCGTTAGATATCCACATGCAGCTCCCCGAGTCGTTCGACCAGGCAAACAAGCCACGATCGCTCATGACCACCCGGAGCAGTGGCACCAACCACTTGCCGGTGCAACCTCGCACCGGCACGGCCGGGTCCCAAAATTCTGAGGCGCCCGCAGGGGCCTGGAATTTGAGTGCTCACGACGGAAAATATATCAGTGAACTAGCACCATAAAAGGGATTTAACCACCGAACATCTCGATTGTAGCATTCAAATGGTGCTTTCGCCAACAAACAATTGGATTTCACCCACAAGAACATATGATTTTACAGCAAAAAAATGTTTTGACCGAATTAAACAATGAACACTGATGATTTAATCAAGAAAAATGAATTTAGCAATCGAAAATATTGTTTTTTTCTAGCCGTAGCAAATGCGATGATAATTGGATATAAAAAAGGCATGTATAAACAAAGGCAATTTGCCCCGGGGGATTGTGTGGGTTGCCAAGATCCAACTTAGAAAGTTTACATTTCATTTACCTGGAGTTTGGGTGGGCAACTAGTTATTGGGCCAATACAACTTTGATATAATAAGTGGCGGCTAATAAAAGTATAATTCAAACTTACAAATTTGTCGGGGTCCAATTTTGTCACAATCGCCCAGCTTCAGGGCATCTTTTGGGTAAAACGGCTCAGCCGGGGTTCACCAAGTTCCGGGGTTGTTGATCCCACCGTTTGGAACTCAGCGGCAAGAATCAGGCAACAAGCCAGCACAGGCTTACCGTTTGGAACATGATCAGCAAATGGTGGGTTTTCCACAGCTATATTAGTTTACCCTTGGGTATAGGATGATAGCCTGGGCCTGCGGGGTGACATGGCTTGGCCATGAATTTATGTGCGCCCGTTTCTTGGCAAAATTATTTTTTTCAAATATAAGTGAACTAAGGTTTGGGACCGGGATGACTAGATATCACATGATACTTCTATGTTTTGAGTTCATAAGGCAACTTGGCACCACATTGTGCAAGTGACTGATTATAAAACCTGGACCTATTACAACAGTTTTTTTGCTTGATCCAAACATTCAATGATTACAACCCAGATCTTGTTTCTAAAAAAATGTTGTTTTATGATATGCTTGCCGGTTAACACATTATTCACAAATGATGGACATGTTCCATATGTTTGATGCCAAAAAAAACGGTGAAATCTTCACGTTTGATTCTTAAATCCCAAGAAATCCCGTTTTACTCCCTGGTAAATCAACATAGACCCTGAAAGTCACCAGTTTTTAATGGAAACTAGTCTTGCAACCCCGATGACTGCCAGGGTCTATGTTAATTCACCAGAGGGTAAATCACATGCAATCTCCAGGTTCCGCTGGAATGTGTCAGTGCGACATCTACTCCACGCGAGGCGATCGATCAATCGATCGTTTTTTTTCCGACAGGGGTTATATATGTGCCGTTAAATATGCCTTGGTTGATTGGTTCATGTGTTGGGACTTATCGTAGCTAATGTTAGTTTAATGGGATGTTCATCGGTTTTATATGTTTTAATTAGCTTAATTAATGTTTTTTTAGTGGTTTAAATGGGGCTTAATGTGATTAAACTGGAAACTTATCATGATTTAGTGGGCACTTGAAACCATCAAATACCTGAACCACTTAAATTCTCGTGGTTGATTGGTTCAAAATCATGGCATGCAGATCTATCATGAGACATTCATTGGAGTATAATATCTGGTTATCGAGCAAAGCTATGGAAAGTTCTGGAACACCACCATGTTTAATAGGCAAATTGGTAAATCATGATTTTTATCATCTATAGCAGTCAAAGGGTGTTATGGGGATATACCCTCTGGTAAACTAGCATGGACGTGAAAACCCATGGTTTCCCGAGGAAAACGACCTACAAATGGCCAAATAGTGGGTTGTCCACGCCTATGTTCATTTATGTCGTATTCTTAGGGAACAAAAGGATCCCTTAGGGAACAGATCCCTTTGCGAAGAAGCAGTGAGGCCTTAAAAAAGAACAGAACGTCGACGGACGCGAAGCGCTGCTTTCAAGTTCATGAAAAGTGCAACATGACCGAGGAGGACCCCACGTTGGTGCTGATTGGCGGTTATAGGGCGGATGTGGGGCCCACCCAAAGCTTTAAAGCATTCCGAAATTATGAACATATGAAGAAATATTTCAAAAGCTCGGACTGGTGGCGAAATGCTTTAATATATATATAATTATATATATATATATATCGGGGGATTCGCGAACTATCTATTGACATGCTTTCTAAACTTTCAAAACGTCAGCCATATTCCCAGAGTATGAAAGAGTTTAAACGACCTCATGTCCACAAAAAGTGGCTATTGTCCACCAAAAAAAACGTAATGTCCACAAAAAGGCGCCTAATGTCCACGAACAAAGTGCCTAATGTCCACGCATTTTCTTTCCATTTTCATTTTGCAGCAGCAATCCACAATTTTCCTGACATTTTGGCAACAAGTTGTCCACATATTTGCTTTCAATTTTGGCAACAAAAGTCGACATATTCTGGCATTTTGGCAGCAAATTGTCCACATATTGGCGTTTAATTTTGGCAGCAAAAGTCCACATCATTTTTGCACATGTTGGCAGCATATGTCCACAAATTTATTTCACAATTTGGCAGCAAATAACAAATATGCCGGTCTTGTGGGGTAGGATCCTTTTTGTTGAGGCAACATGGCAAATGTTTCATGATTTTTTTGGGTATTCCAGGAGCTATTCTACCAGTCATTTTGCGAAGGACCCTCGATTTGTGTTTCACATCTGGGACTGATTTGGCATGCGTTTTTGAGCATACGTCCACAATGTTGTTTGTATCTACAAATGGTTTTCCCGAGTTGTTCAATCATATACTGGCTAGTAATGTGTTGTAGTTGTACGAAGTGTACACTGCGCACATCGTGTAGGAATAAATGCGGCCGGCGCAAATCTTGTCCGCTAAATGCTCTGTGTGTGTGTGTGCTGTTGGCCGGTATTTGCGTTAGAGAATCTGTACATGTAACGCGCCAAATCTTGCATCTAATGTGAATGCAATGCACAGCTGTCCTGTCCATATCTGCAATTGTCTGCCTGACAATGTATGAAACAAATTGATATAAATGTGTTGCATGCCAGTCAGATGATTGTGACTGCACCTTGCCTGTCCTTGTGTTATGACTATGTGACGATTTACATTAGGTACTTTTTTCCTGGCTCAGGAAGAATGTAACCTGATGCGATGCCAATGTCTTGAATGCACAGTTTCATTCCTTACAGTGTACGCCACTGTGAATTTTATATTGAGTGGAAAGTGTGTATTGTGCTGGTATGGTGTTTGATTTCTAGAAAGCCTAGCGCTAGAGTAGCTAGTGGCAAGCCGGCTGCTTAGTTTGCAAAGGGCTCGCTAGGTTGGGTCTGGGTAATGGGTTTCGTCCGAGCTGGCTTCAGGAAACCTGCCTGGTACCGTAAAGTAGGGATACATGGCATGCAGTATGAACCAGACTTGGGCTTCTGACTTGTGGACTTGCGGTTTCTTTATCAACGAACAGAAAAATGCATGGGCATTAGACAGTTAAAAGTTTAGAAACTATCTGTTTGAACAGTTCAAAACCTATCTATTTCACCACAAGGCCACACCAAAGTCCGCAAAAAAAAAATCTACAACAATGTCCACACATTCCAAACCTATTTGTCCACAAAACACCCACGCGCACACCAATGTCCACACCAATGTCCACACCAATCCGCACCCCTTCGGGGAGGTAGTCCAAAATAAGTATATGTTAAAATCAGTATATATTTCAATGTAGTTCCATGTTGAAAGATCAGCAGCTTGATGGGCTGTCAACTTGCAAGAAAAATGGGCTGGGTCTTCTCGCCGAGTTGCAGACGATGAAATTTGAGGGTCTGGTCATTGAGGCTTTCCGGCAGCTAAAAATCAAAGAGAACTTCAAGCGAGTTGTGTGCAAGAATTTAGCGGATGTGGCGTCCGGAAAGGTCGTGGAAGGGTCGGTCCTTTCCCAAATCTTACAACAGTGCAATGAACTGTTGGAAGGCTGATCAGGCGTTTGCCATTGTAAAGTGTATAGGATTGGTAGAGACACGCACAAGGATCGCAAAAAAGGACAGGTGCATTGCTGGAAGCTATCTGATTTCTCGACGTGCTCCATGTTGTTCCCATATTATCTCCTTATTTGCTCCTATATCCTGCCATATTCCCCATGTTGGGTTTGCTTTTTTTTTGGTTTGTTTTTTTTTGGGTTTGTTTTTTTTGCTTTTTGTTTGTTTTTTTCATAATTTTAATGCCTTTCTATTTTCCAATGAATGCAGGTCTCTCGACGTCATAAGTTTAAATGTATTGGATTCCGTATGTTTAAATGGCCGGGCGGGCTAAAAGGAAACCCTTCCCGGGGGCAGTCTAAAATACCTCTTCATACATTGAAAAGTATTTTTAACTGTAGTTACTGTAGTTCATGCGTTTGTAAACACATTTAGCAGATTTAGAATTCGGGGTTGCAGTTTCGAGGTGTATTCCAACAGGTGTATAGGTTACACGTGATTCCGACCGGTTGCAGTTCGGTTGAACTGCCTGGCAGCCTGGTTGATGTTGGCCAACACATTTTCAATCTCTCTAACGAACATATCTAACTAAACCCTGCCAAATAGGGATTGGAGGCCACTTTCCTCAGGGGTTCTATTAAGATATTAATTAGTTGAGGGAAAGGTACTAACAAGGCAAGAACAGGGTATAACCATTGGAAATGGGACATGGCTATTGAACATGGCCATTTATAGCTGATTTACCTTTAAAGAATGTGATTCCCACAGCAGCAAACTTTTAGTTTACCAGAGGGTAGCCACCAAAAAGATCGGTGTGGACCTTGCTGGGCGAACACCTTTCAGTTGGATCTCACAAAGATTGATCGAGCTCTTGTTGTTTTTATATCGTTTATACTCTTAGTTTCCCCAGCAGGGCATTTATAAATCTGTATCTTTTGATAATTTTGGAAGGCAATGGGAATCCGATCCCCCATGTATAGCTGATTTCCTTCTTACAAGTGTGGATTTTTGCCAGGTTCGACGAAATCAGACGGTAAGTCTGGCCGTGGTATTGAAGTTGCTACCTCTTAATTCCAGAATTCCAGGCACCCCCTGAAGGTATATTGGGGGAAAGGGGACAAACGACTGGCACCCCGAAAATGTCCACAAAACATACTTTCCTTCGAGCGACCCCCACCGTGACAAATTATTTCGTCATAGTTTCTGACATCTCATCTGGAAGTATATATGGCATTTTCTGACATTCTATTCTGGCATTCTATCTGACATTCTATTCTGACATTCTTTTCTGGCATTCTATCCGGCATCTACTCTTCTGACATCCTATCTGGCATTGTTTGTGACATTATATTTGGCATCTATTTTGGCATCCTCTTTTGCATTCTCTGACATTCTATTCTGGCCTTCTATTCTGCCTTTGTATTTGGCATTCATTCTGACATTCTAGTCTGACATGGGCACTGCTGGACCTCAACCGAGCGCCAGATCTCAGTGGGCGCAGGTTGAGGGCAGCGCCCACTGACATCTGGACCTCGCGGCTAGGGGTCCGGCAGTGCCGACTGAGCCCTGGAGCTCGCGGTTAAGGGCCCGGCAATGCCCCCGGTTGAGGTACGGCAGTGCCCGCTGAGATCCAGCTTGCAGTTGAGGTCCGGCAGTGCCCACTCAGATCGGGAGCTCGCAGTTGAGGTTCGCAGGCGGCGAAGTAGAAGGAGGAGGAGGAGGAGGGATGCATCTCTGATAGAATCTAGAGACCCTCACCTGGCAGGTGGTGAAAAGGACAGCCCACTGACAAAAAATCAACCCTCCTTAGATCCCATCATATCCCCAGTATGAACTGCTTCAGATCCACAGAACCTCCCATCCATATCACCACATTGGTTAAGCCCGGGCTGCTCGGTGGTTAAATCCTCACTGGTGCTTATGAAATTTCAATTGTGCGATTGCAAAACAAATGTCCTTAATGATTGCGCCACCTACTCCTGACAAAACAGAGGTCATGCAACCTGAAATTCGGCATGTCCACATGTTTAATTTGCAAACAGTATCTCCCTTGTACCTGGCTGTTGGAAGCAACCCTGTGAGATCATGCTGTCTCTGGGTCATTTTTTTGATCGATGATGAAACAAGCATTTGTGTTGCATAAACAACCGTTGTCCGAATTGTTTTTTATCCGGTGACATGTTGATTCACCCTGCTTGGGTTTGCAGTTGGAGTCACTTTTTATGGGCAACCACTGTGAGTTAACCACCACAAGTATCCATAAGTTGGGATACAACACCACTATATCTTTAAATGTATATATATATATATATATATTTATTTATTTACATATTTATATATTTATGCATACCGACTTACAACTGGAACTGTGCTTCCAAGTCGGGGTTTCATGGTACCCAAGCGTGAAATTGGAGGTTAGTTATATTTGGTGATGTTCACCAACTTTGCCATTTAGCTCACGGCACCACCTTGTAGGAGAACGTGCATCCCATTGTTATTCCATTGCTCCCTATTAAACCATGAAAAACGAATAGGTCCATTGATAATGATCCCATAGAGCCATCATTTTTTCCATGGTGTAATAAGACCAGTGCTTTATATTCCATTGATCCCCTATTAAACCATGGTTCTGGACAGGAGCTGGAGGATTTGCAGGCCCTCTTCATGGTCACCAAGCCTTCCTCGCGATTTAACACGGGCGATGGCGCGATCGAGTCTCCAAGGTCAAAACGGGATCAACGCCAGGAGCAACGCCAAGAGCACCCGCGAAGTTTTTGGATTTTGATAGGATTTTAGTGATTTTTATGGGATTTTAATTGTATATAAATGTTTAACTTAATTGGATTCAATGGCAACGTACTGCGGAAATTCACCATGAAATACCTGCGCCGTAATAAATTTCCTGGTTGATTGTTTTTTGATGAGGAGTATTACTACCAAGGTTAATGGGGATTATGACTACCCATAGCCGAAGGAAGTTTAGAAGTCAAACTTCCGACAATATGGACAGATGAAAAGCAGGGATGGGAAGAGTCAGAGAAGCGAAGAGAAGAAGAAAGTAGATCATTAAAGAGAAAGCCTCAGAAGAAAGAAGATCCAGGTGCGCGAACAGGTAGGAAAGTCGCGAAACCCTGTGTTTTTTCCAATGATTTGTCGCTCCGGAGGGTCGAAAGTAGACTCGCTAAAGCGGCGGGTTGTGGCCCGAAGCACATTTCCAAGTCAAGATGTACAAAACACACCAGGTTCGGACGACTTTTGGAAGTTGAGATGATGAAAAAGTGCACGCCGTTGTAGCGCGAAGCACATTTCAAAGTCAAAATTTCAAAATGTACAACACGCCGTTGTGGACATGTACAAAACACACCAGCTCCGGACCACTTTTGGAAATTGAGATGTCGAAAAAGTGCACGCCATCGTTGCGCAAAGCACATTACGAAGTCAAAAGTGCAAAAAAATGAGGGGTATGGAGCACTTTTGGACCTTCAGATGTCGTTTCGCGTGGCAGGCGCAAGGGATTGTGCACCCTGTCAAAAGTGAGCAAAACGTGAGGGCTTTGTGGCAGTTTATGGCAGTTTCAAAAGCGATGCCAGTTGCAGTACAAGAGACATGTTCATCAGAGCTCTTAGGAGGTTGATTTCCTGACAGGGGTTGCATTTTGGAGCATCAAATCTTTGGTTTTCTGAGATGATTTCGCGTGACAGGTGCAGCACTTCGTATGACCTGGCATCACTTTTTCGTGGCAGGCGCAATACTTTAGACAGGTGGAGTGGGAAACTCGCAAAATGCATTGGTACGACGCCGTCAGCTCTGCACCCAGCTTTCCATTTTTGAAGGAAGTTTCGCAGAATTGTTTCGTTTTTGATGTTGTCAACGTCGAAAATTGAGGAAATGTCGCAGACTTGTTTCGTTTTATTTATGTTGTCAAGTTCAAAAGTTAAAGAAAAGTGTCGCAGAACTGTTTCGTTTTTGATGTTGTCAACTTCGAAAATTGAGGAAATGTCGCAGAATTGTTTCGTATTTTAAATTACGTTGTCAAGTTCAAAAGTTAAAGAAGTCTCGCAGACTTGTTTCGTTTTCGGCGTTGTCAAGTTCCAAAAATTGAGGAAGTCTCGCAGAATTGTTTCGTTTTTGACGTTGCCAAGGTCAAAAAATGAGGAAGTATCGCAGAATTGTTTCGTTTTCGGCATTGTCAAGTTCCAAAAATTGAGGAAGTCTCGCAGAATTGTTTCGTTTTTGACGTTGTCAAGGTCAAAAAATTGAGGAAGTCTCGCAGAATAGCTTTGTTTTCAATCTTGCAGATAGACACAGATAAGATAGATAGATACATAGATAGGTAGGTAGGTAGGTAGATAGATAGATAGATAGACAACTACAACTACCACTACCACTACCACCACGCTACACTACTACTACAACTACAACTATACAACATACTTCACTACATTACACTTCACTAATTACACTACACTACACTAATAACATCTGATTACACCACGCTTCACCACGTTTCACCACACTTCACCGCACTTCACCACACTAATTACACGAATCACACTAATTACACTATTCGCATCAATTGCACAACAACAACAGCAACAACAACAACAACAACCACAACCACAACCACAACAACAACAACAACTACTACTACTACCACCACCACCACTACCACTACTACCACTTACCACTACCACTACCACTACCACTGCCATCACCACTGCCATCACCACTGCCACCACCACCACAGCTACAACTACATTTACCACTGCGCTTCATTACACCACACTAATTGCACTACACTACAACTACAACTCCATTACGCTACAACTACAACTGCACTACACCACACTACTTCCAGCAGTTGTGCTGAGGTGACCACTGCAACCACTATAAAAAGTACAACTCCAACCACCAAATTCGGTCCATCAGTGGGTTCGTTCTGCCATCCGTGATTCACAACAACCAACCTCTCCTATAGGTTTCCTATTCTTGAAACTTCCGCCACCACCTTGTGCGGTATTACTGGTAGGAAAACATATCAGCCACTTAGTATAATGAGCTGGGATCAGGGCATCTTTAATGGCTGAAGGCGTAGGAGTTGTGTGAAATGCTCATGATGTAGCTGGGTAAAGTTTAGCAAATCACTAGGCCACTACCTACCATTATGGAAGAAATTACTTGTACAAACCATCATTCCCGTGATTCCATTTTTATCCAACACAGTTCTTGTTCATACACGCAGCCCAGTCTCACTAGGTACATTATCCAGAAATGGTCCACTTTCATCCATGTGTGTTAATGTTTATTCATTGTCCGTTTTCATGCTAGATTGCCAGGGGGTGTTCGGTGATTTGTTTGTCAATTGTGTTCGTAAATGCCCAAGGCGACTATTATTGTATCATGGGAATGCCGAGTATCCCAACGTGGCACCAGTTGCCTAGGCACAAGCCTAGGGACTAGATTAAGGGGACAATTCCCATTCCCCTAACATCATGGCCCTGAGAATCACCGAGGAAAGACTTGTTTGCCGACCCCATTGTTACTTTCTCCTAGGCACTTTACATATATGAGGTATGTGCAATTACATGTAATTTATGATATATATATATATATATGTGTGTTTTTTTTTCTGAAATACGATTTATATACATATGCATATATGATTGGTTGGTTTATTTGTATTTATACATCAATCCATACACACACACATGTGTATTTATTTATATATATATATATATTATATATATACACATACATCTATGCAGATATGGGTTTGATAGGTGAGGCGACCGACCATGGGAACATACTACCAAAAATCTGAATGTCGAAGGAGACATGGCCCCGCTTCTTGGTGCACCCGGAGTCCACAAAACGCTTGTTCTGGGATTGCCTTGCTTGTGTCCCAGCAGCAAACCATTGGATCCGTTTACCCCTCAAACATCATATATACACAAAATAAAAACAAGAGAACTATACGGTTGTATCTTGAAATGGTATATGCCCAATGGTGGCAATTTATTAGGGAAGATGATATCAACCGGTGGGTTTGGGGGTGCCTCAAAAATGGTCATCTCAGGCATGATGCTCTTCACCTACACCGTTGTAGTACCACTGGAAGTTTTTCACTTTGAAGTGGATTCCGCGGTGATGTCCACCATGTGGCTGGCTGAAAACATGGGAAAACGATGGGTTTGAGTGAGCTGAACTTCTTGGATATAGCAGCCCAGAATAGATCTTGGATGAACTTAGCAGAATCCTACTTACGGTTCTTATGTTGCTGGGTATCCAAGATTAACTATTTGTGTCAGACTGTGAGTTGGCAAGGCGGGCTTATAGCAGGCAAGCATCGTTCATAAAGACTCCCCAGAGTCCCAGAATGTCCCAGATAAAATATTTGGATTTGTTCATTTGGGAGGACCAACTCTGGATGCATTGGTGTCAAATCTTATGTAAGATTTCGATGGAAAGCAAGTAACGTAACGGTTAATTTGGGGTCGAACATGGGCCCAAGTGGGCCTTTGGGGTCGGAATTCTTCTGCGATGTGCAGTTAGAAAGTGGTTTATAAATGCTTACAATCAATCTAGATCTCTATTCTCACATACAACTGGAGATATTCTTATTTAACTGGGTTCTTATATTGCTTATTTGCCACTTACCACCTGGAATGCCACAAGTGTGTTACAGTGGTACAGTTTCAGAACAACTTCCGGATCTTTGGATTGTTTTACTATTCCCACAGTTGAACAACATTCAGTTTATTTCAATTTTTGAGTTGATTCATATGCCCGACTTCCCGAAAGGCGCTTAGCATCTGTGGCAGGTCCTGGTAAGTGACAAGGGTGTTCTTGAAGTCTTCATGCTGTTAGGTCGTGTTGTGAAACAGATGGCCGTATTGTAGATGCTGCCTTGTTTGTAGCTCAAATTGGCTGCAAATTAGGGGTGCTGCTTATTTTCGCATGATCGTGCGAGTCCGAATCTTAGCAGCCCAGTATTTCATGCAATGACAACAAGCAGATTCTTAGCACAGATGAAATCGCAATATTGCAGGGCAGAGAGATTCTCATACTCTCATTATATATGGAAACAACCATGATGTTTCCATACCCATTAGCATTGATCGCGTGGATTTCTTTACGGGTTATCCTTCTCCCGTCACAAGTGACGACCGATGAACCATAGGCTCTCAGTGCGGAGTGTGTGGCTCTTCTTTTGGATCTTGGACATTGGTATGACGGTGAGAACAGCGGTATATGTGGCTTGGACCAATCAGCCAATGGGTATAGCATGGTGGAGTACTTATTGGGACAGTATATGTTCAATGCGATTAACGACCTACATTAGTTAAGACATGTATATACGAGGTTTGGTTCGCGTTTTTGTTTTTAATTGTGTCTGTGAATATGATGATCCATGCTGTGTTTTCCCTTTGTTTTTATATGATTGATCAACCAGGTGAGCAAAATTGGCGACAAACCAGCGATAACAATTTGTTCAACAAGGGTCCCCGGACCAGGGAAAGACCTGTTGCTGTAGGGGTGCCTTAATGCGCTATACCGACAGAAAAGGTACCAGGGAATCAAAAATGAGAACAGAGAAATGAAAGAAAAGGGAACATCAAAGAAACACCACAGGAACATTGAGGTAAACAAACATATTCAGAAAGGAAAGAAAGGAACGGTTTAACAAAAATCAAGCGCACAAGTAAGAAAAAGGAAGGTAAAAACAACAAGGCGTAAGCCCTGGCACACGAACCTGATTCTGGAAAAATATGGAGCCAATTCCGCTGCATTTTAGACCACATACCATACTGTACAAGACACTTCAAAACGATTGGGCCGGTCACCAAAAAAACGTTACTTCGAACGATCCCCACCATGACAATATTTTGTCATAGTTTCTGACATCTCATCTGGAAGTATATATGTCATATATTTTCTAACAGTCTACTCTGGCATTTGACATTCTGTTCTGGCATTCTATCTGACATTCTATTCTGACACCCTATCTGGCATCCTTTCTGGCATCTATTCTGACATTTTCTCTGGCATTCTATTTGGCATTCATTCTGGGATTCTACTTGGCATCTATTCTGACATTTTTTCTGGCATCTATTCTGTCTGGTCTTCGAATTTTAGCAAGAAAGCAACCTGATATATGCCATATTTCTTGCAGGTATATTTTCTGACATTCTTTCCGGCATCCTTTTTGGTATACCTTCGGAGATTGATTGTGGTTGAGGTCTGGCGGGGAACACTCTGATCCTCAGCTCGCGGTGGAGGTCCGGCGGGGAACACTCTGATCCGGAGCTTGCGGTGGAGGTCCGGCGGGGATCACTTTGATCCAGAGGTTGCTGTTCGGGTCCGGCGGGGAACAGTGTGATCTAAAGCTTGCAGTTGAGGTCCGGCGGGGATGACTTTGATCCAGAGGTTGCTGTTCGGGCCCAGGGAACACTGTGATCTAGAGCTTGCAGTTGAGGTCCGGCTGGGAACACTGCGATCTAGGGCTTACAGTCTTACAGTTGAGGTCGGGCGGAGGAAGGAGGAGGAAGGATGAGGAGGAACGAGGCGGGCAGGCTGACATAAAATCTAACAACCCTCACCTGACGGGTGGGAAACTATAGTTTTGATGTTGCCTCACACCATACTATTTGATGGTGGCTCATATGTGTGAGAGTTACTGCAAATGAAACTGAATTGTGGGTGGGATTTTGTCAGCCAATCCGAATCCGTAAACACGACTGTATAGGGTTTCTTCACGACCTTGTAGGTGCCAAGTTTTTGAACCAAAAATCAACCCTCAAAGCATCAAAGTGCCTCATGTGCATGATTGAAAACACACAGAGGTTCGTGCCGGTTTTGGTTTAAGTGTGAAGTGCTTTTCTCTTGGATTTGTTTTGATGATGTATTTGGGAAATATTGATTCAGCACCTTGACACGAGAATTAGGAACCGCAATTCGACGTACTGACCCGTCCCCCGCCTGCATGTATAAGTTGGTGCATACACCCAGCTGAGGATATATGTTCGAAGAAATTAAGTGCAGTCATATGTGTTACAAACCAACTTAGCCATCAAATACTAAATCAACCATAAATCAACAGTTTTTTGTGGGTTGATTGCTCGTTGTTTAAAGGTTAAATCTCCAGGGGGCCAGCAAGAACGCAGGTGGACAACGTTCTGTGTACCCAGTGGATTCTCGGCAGAAAAATGTATCGTCCCGGGAGATCCTTGGTACAAGGTGGTGCCCGCTCAAAAAAAGGTGAATATATATATATATACATATATATATATATATTTATATATATATATATATTATATATATATATATTAAATTATATATCTATTTATTTATTTATTTATTTACCGGGGCTATAATCGACATTTACCACGATTGTTGTTGGTACAAGGTGGATGGTTTTACAACAGTTATCAATCATAGTTCATGATGGGAATGTGCACCAACAAACATGGTGGTATAGTGGAAGTATCATGGGAATATGATGGGAAATCTCCGAAGCGAACGGAGGATCGAATCAAATGGTTCTTTTCAGCAAACCATGTTTGATAACCAGAGAGTAGGCGTGGTTAGGTTGTTTCCCTGTGCCCAGGTTCAAAGGATAACATATGATAACATCAATTTTGTATTTTATATATATATATGGAAGTTTCCTGAAATGGGGGTACCCCTAAACCATCCATTTTTAATAGGATGTTCCACTATAATCCATCCATTTGGGGGTACCCCCATTTATGGAAACCTTCATATAGTACTACGTAGTAAAAAATATGAATCCAATCAACGTTGTGCCAGGAGCTGCATCTTGCGAAAGTACGTGCGCCGCAAGGGTCGCAATGGTGTTCATCCCTGTAAACTACCGGGTCGCTGGTGCCCTCGTTTGAGATAGCTGAAATGGTGAACAGTTCAGTAGGTGAATTCTGTCGGTAGCAGATAACTATCGTAAAACAGATAGGTTATAAACAACAACTTAGCTATCACTTCCCACTTGGCCTGACTGGAATCAACTTTGTTTCATCCAATGTGGAATGTGCCTTTTTGGGAACAAAAGGTGATTGCGAACAGTTTGGCAAGATCTAGTGCCGTTCCTAGCGGCTTAAATCATAATGTTCTTTGATGATTTTGATGGGGAACATGGGAAAATTGAAGGCCTTATACCCTGGTGTGGGAAGTCTGTGGCAACTGTGGGATGGGCCTTCATCAGTTTCAAGTGGGGTTATATATTCATTGCCTGAAACCACTAGGCTTATCATTGTTATCCGGGGTTTCAGGAGACCCAACCCCATTGTCATATGTTATACACACATATACGTGTATAGAGGTACAATCATGTACGCAGTGTGCATGTACTCAGTAGGTTATGTTCTCAGTAGGTCATGTTTTTTTGATTCTCATGATTTTGTCACTTGTTTGAACTGCCATTTGTTTATTCTTTGAGCCCCCCATGAAACATGCAATACGATACGCTTGCACATTGAGAGTTTGCAAATTTGGTTTGTAAGAAAATTATAACCACCGTGGATTGTTTGCAATGTGGGTCCCAGACATTCCAATAAGGCTATTCTTAATGGTTACGTTCCAATTGATAGACCACTCTGAAAATGCTTACTGGTGGTTGTTTTGAGCTACTGACGAAGCTCATTTATATGGGTCACCGTAGGTGGGTCACCGTGATGGTGATGCCTTGGCCAGTGACCAGCTTGGCCTGCACTTTTCCCGTTGTGGTTACATGATATGTTCTTGAACTCCCAGAAAGAAGGAACCATCAAACCAGCATTGTTCTATCCCCAAGCAGGTATATTCATGGTTTCTCTTTGACTTGGCAGTCATCGGTCTGGACCTTTGGTCCATCATTTGCATGGTGCGACGTCGACCCATTCTGCGCATTGCGGTGCCGTTGCTGGCAATGGTGCCGAGCTGTTCATTTGATCAATTCCTTCTCCATGGATGTTAACTGGCCCTTTAGCAGTTATATACCAGTCATAAAGGGTTTCAAATGGTGGTATAAATGGTTATAAATGGAATTATTATTCCATAAACGCGGCGGCTTACGAACTTATAAGTGACTATACGTGGTATTCTAGGCTATAGCTTTACCCTTTGGTAATTTAACATGGCTAGTGAAAATTACAATTTGTTAGTATATAGATTATTTATACATTGCAATTTTTCATAGCTATGTGAAATTGCCAGAGGGTACACGCTGTTGTTTTTTTAACAACAATATTGTGGAGTTATATAATGGAAATGTTCTGGAATAACCCACCAAAATAATCACGCCTTATTCGATGTGGGTACGGGCCTTGTGGGGGGTGGCTGTAGGGGTTTTCATGATGTTCGACATTGCAGAACTGCAGAGTTTAGATGACCAGCTTTCCATGATGGCACCGTGCGGCACCATAGAATCATATTTGGGTTACTATAAGCTTAGAATTGCAGCCCTTTTATCAGCAACAGTGGCGTGAAAGTTAACAAACCTTCAGTGGGTGTGTTTCTAAACTGGGGAGAATCATGCCACTGAGCCCCAGGGGCCCCAGGCTTCAAAATCACAAGCTCAAACATGCTCAAACCACCTATCGGCCACGAAAATTGCATGATTGTTTCAGACAAACCATCTATTTTCAAACTATACCAACAAAGTTGCTTGATGGCGTCGTCCCATTTGTGAGTGAATCACAGCTTGGAATGGACACCGGAACCTCCCAATACTGAGATCATAAGGGTTCAGCAAACATTTGATAAATGTTGATGGTGATGAATCACTCCTTGACAAGACTATACTTGTGGAAACATTTCATTGCCCCAAACTAGCGGTTCATGGATCTGAGTGGTGGCAAACCAACGTAGCTATTGGACATTGACAAAATGGGTCGGTTGTACTTGATACTGTTGGCTTTCCATAGCAAACTGTTTGTCTACTGGAGGGGTATAATCTATTCAAAAACAGCTGTCAACCAGGCAGTCGGAAAGTTTTTCTTCATGGCTCGGGGAGTCTTCAGCTTTCGCTTCCACAAGTTGCTGCAGCACCAGCGGCTGATGGGGCGAAGCGGGCTAAGCGGAGCGAAGAAGGTGCAACCAATTCGCGTGGGAAAGAGCGGCCAACCCAAGATTAGTTCCATTAGGTTCAGGTGCCCAAAGGTGGAGGTATGCTTCAGAATTCTTCAGACCATATTCTTGAACATATTGAAAAGCAAAAATATGCATACAGGCAACGCGCAGACCGCAAGTTAGGGATTTCGTTGCCTGAAAAGGGCTAACCTTGGAGAGCAAGGATAGGGTAACAGGTATATGTTCAGCATTTATCAGCCATCGATTTGTCAACGCTACGTGCGAAGCAAATAACTCAGCCAAATGTGATGTTCGTACCAGGATAGCTAAGAGCCCTGCAAGCAGGACTGGTTTGTCACTGTGTTATAGACCACTACATATGTTATAATTGTTATCCATTTGCAACTCCATGGTCCACTATCCCATCATCATCCCGTTATTGTGCCTTATTGTCAATTTTCATCCCATATTATCCTATAAAACATTTTAAAACCATATAAAGCCATATTGAGCCGTTGATTTTCCATGACCCATCGAAGTAGCCTCAACACTTCCTGCATTACACTGGAGGCCTGTGGCGTGCTGCTGCTGATTCTTGTTGCTCAGCTGGCTTCGGAGACGCGGGAATCGTGGAGTGCTGGAGCTATCCTCTTGAGGAAAAACGATACGTTTAACGGTTTTCGATCCATGAAAAAAATAACAATCAAAAACCATTGGTTTAACATGGTTTCACGGTTTGAAAGATGAACGATATAACTTTAATCGACAAACATGGTGGTAGAATTGGATATCAGCGGAGGTACAAAAGTGATAATCATTTTCACAATATACACATGGTTCACCATGGATAAATTATATAATGAACAAATCCGCGGATGTCACTGGAATGATGATAAATAGAAAGGCATTTGTTCTCGAATTGCCGATTTTTTTTTGGTTGGTGAATTGTATTATTTTATCTTAAATGAAAGCAGCGGCCTTGTCCTCTCTGGGAATCGGTCACTGCACGCAAGACCAATGAACACAAAAATATATAACTTACTTTCTCGAGTGGTCCCCACCCTGGCAATTATTCTGACATACCACTTGGAAGTATATACGGCATATATATTCTGGCATTCTTCCTGGCATATACTCTGACATTCTTTCTGGCATTCTATTTGGCATCAACTCTGACACACTTTCTGGCATGTATGCCTTCTGGCATTTTACCCGGCATCTATTCTGCCATACTATTTGGCATTCTATTTGGCATTCTATTCTTGCACTCTATCTGGCATCTATTCTGACATTCTTTTCTGCCATTATATCCGACATTCTATTCTGGCATTCTATTTGGCATTTATTCTGACATTCTCTCTGACATGGGCACTCCAGGACGCCAACTGCGAGCGCCAGATCTCATTTTCCCAAGCATGTCCCTAAATCTTTGCCCGAAGCCGGGCCTTCGGCAAAGAGGAGCTTCGGTGTCGCGCTCAAGACGTACGGTGGATGAGTATGTCATTGTTTTGATGCTCACGGACAAGCCCCCTTGTGTACAGAACAAAATGGCGAACAATTTCTAGATTCTAGATCGTCCTTGAACAATTCTGCAGCATGAAGGAAGATCGTAACATTTTTTCTTAGAATACTGGCCTAGCGAATTGCTATCAGCAAAAGAAGCTAATGCCCTTTGTTTTCTGCAGTAAATTCTTGTCCTGTCCTGAGCTCACGATTTTTCCATCAGTACTATTGCTTGACATGATATGTAGCCAAACTGATAACTGTTGGAATCTATTCTTTTCTCTCCTTCATGCTTCATGTTGTTCCCTTTCCAAAGCAAGGGTGGGTTTCTCTAGGCTAAAGGCTCCGACTACCTCTGACATTTGTCAACATCTGTAACTTTTGCCCTACAAACTTTGAAGTAAAAACTCTGCACTGCAGGAAAGGACAAGTGAGTGTCTAGTGTGTTTGGACAATACGAAGGGGACAGCACAGCAGTTTTGCCGAGACAGATTTCACGAGATGTTTGCCTGCAGTACCTGCAGTAGCACTGGCCTTCTTATATACAAAAAAGTGCGCAGCACTTTTCTTGTCGTACCTGTTTTTCGCACAAGATCAAGACAACTTGCGAGATGTTCAATAGATAGAAGAACAGACTATCAGATAGGTCAGATACAGATTAGAGAGAAGATAATGGTGTAAGACCATTCACGATTTCCCTCAAGTCGCCCTAGCTAATGTTTCCCGGCTACATACTACACATCTACACCAGGCTAAGACAAGGAATAGCTTCCAAATACATGGAGCCCACGCTTTTCCATGAAGAAAGACGCAGGGAGACAAACATAGATGGGAGAGTAGAAGAGCAGAAGAGAGCGTGGGCCCGAAATCAAGGTCGCAACAGGCATTTTGTATCGTTTTTTGCTTCTGAGGACGCTTCGCTATTTTGATTTATCCAGCGTTGCCAGGTAATCATTGGCTGGGCCCTTTATTGAAAGTCAGACCTGGAAAATTTAGGTGCCTACAAACACAAGGCAAGATCAACTTGAGATTAACCGCATGCTTGAAACGAGGTATTGACAGAAGTCAAACCACTACTAAGAATTTACGAAAAATGGAATCAGTGGGAAGATAGCCGAGAACATCCGAGAACAGATGTGGCATTGCATCGTTTGACATGTCCCATTTGCCATGACAGATGTTACTGGCAGGATGCGTCACTTTCGCGAAAAATTGGACGCAAAGAAAATGGACGAAGTCAAAGCTGGAACAGCAGATTGTGTTTTAAATCAGGATTGGAACGTGCAAAATTGAATCGTACTTCGTATATAGCGTCGAAAAATGTCTTCGGGACAATGGTAGGACATAGTTCTATTATTATGTTTCCCCCTAAACACGTCATTGTTCGACATCTTTTCTTTGGTAGGTTTTCCCACATGGACGGTCATCCAGTCAACCTTTCAGGTCATACTGGTCACCGCAGTGCGTATGTTGGCTTGCCTCTGGTGCCTCGAAAACATGATGGGATGAACATGGAACACATATGACTGGGACCATTGGGGGTGTTTAATCTGGGGGATGGGATTGTCATGTGTTACTTTTCAGGAGGATAAGGGTGATGTATCCAACAAAAATAGCATTTGCAACACCAGCAAAATTGGAGATGTAAGCGTCAGAAATTGAGATTTAACCATTAACATTTGGACTTTTGTAGGAATGGCGCATAAGAATATGTTGAATTGACCACCATACACGGCGCATAAGAGCATTTTGAATTTACCACCATACATGCTGATGCCTTTTGGAATATGGATGGATATGGAGTAGAAAATCAACAACAAAATGCATGGACATCCATGGTTTTTGTTTCCCTTGATGATCTAGGTCATGTGGATGTTCCATGTCTAAACACTAGTTTACTAGACGGCATCATATCTGAGTAGAAAAACACATATCCTGCAATACACACCTTGTCAGATTTAATATTCAACAACGCAACAACGCAACGATACGCAACGATACGCAACGATACGCAACGATACGCAACGTGTCTGAACTTTACCGTTGACGCGTGCCTAGGAAGTTGTTGCCCCTTGGTAGTTTCGCCTGGCTGGAATATCACAAGTTTTTGGCGATTTGTCCTACTAAATCTGGGGTGTTTCCATTCCCAGGGTCATCTTCCAAAGCCAGGTTTGAGGACTTCCACATGGTGGTTCAGAATACATCAAGTACCCTTCGGTAATTAATCAAAAATTGGGGTGTTCATGGGAAAATCACCTATAAGCAGCAGATTTTCCAGTGCCACGTTTGATTACCGGAGGGTATTATGGGTCAAATGTCCTTATTGCCAAATTTGGATCAGGAGGACATAATCTAGATTCGATGATTTTAGGCAGGGCGACAGATGGTGAATTGGTGAGAGTTCCAGCGCAATCTTATTTAAGAAGTCCGACGTTTCATTTGCCCCAAGGGGAGGCAGGGACACGAAGCATGTGAACGATGGCGCAGGCGCAAGCATCGATTTGAAAATCCCTACTTGCATGAACCCTGCCATGAGACCTCTTGTGTTTTCACAAAAATGAGGTAAACCATCATGGCAAATCTATGCCAATCTTGGATACGCACTCCCAATTATCGCAAACTATCACAGTATTAAACTACCCGCCCAAGGTTTCCCCAGTACCGCTCAATCATTAACAATTTTTCACTAGGGAAACTCATGATAAACGTCTCGATTGGTTTGGCACCCAATTTTCTTAGCTGTTATAATGTAGCATATAGCAGCTTTAAGCCCTCATGTTTCTTTTTCAAATCTCCATCCCTGGTGAAATTTCGAATTCTTTTGGGCACCACCAAACGCAGGGATAAATCCAACAAGGTTTTTCTGTGGCAACGTGGAAGATGGTTGGGTGGAGACAGTCCCTTGGCACATCCGGGTGCATCTCCCCATCGTCAGAAATTATGAAACGGTATGAAAGGGTCGTGAATTTCTTACAATCTGCTGAAGATGAGTTTTGTCTTTTCAGTTTTTTTCTCCATGGGAAATCCACTACTTGGGGAGTCCATAATATCTATGTGGAAATTGTTTTCCCGAATCGTAGCGAAGGGTTCTCGTTTTACTTTGGGGGTCTGGGGGGTGGACCTGTGTTCGCCGGACGCTGCTTTCATGTTTTCGCAACCGCGCAACCGTTCGCAACCGCGCAACCGTTCGCAACCGTTCGCAACCGTCTGCGACCTGCTGCAAAAGTACATACTTTTGGAGGGGCTGCTCAAGTGGTGACAACGTGCAAATCATATTGCAAGCTGGGTCATCGTGAGAATCATTTTGCGTGGCAAGGGCAGTATTTAGTGCAGGTCTGTTGGTGTCGAATGCCGTTTTGCGTGGCAAGCACAGTATTCGGGACACACTACACTTACACTTTATATACATTCCACACTCTACACTTTACACTTATAGGCTATATAGGTTGTGAGTGTAGACACTCTACATTTTACACTCCCGACTCCCAATTTAAACTTTACACTTCACACCCTCCATTTTACACTTCACACTCCACACTCTATTCTTTAGACTCAGCCCTCAGCACTCCACACTTTGCACTCCGCACTCTACACTTTACACTTCACACTCCGCACCTAAATTTTACACTTTATCCTTCGCACTTTGCACTTTTCACTTTTAATTTAAAATTTCCACTCCACACTCTACACTCTACACTTTACACTCCACACTCTACACTCTACACTTCACACTGTGCACTTGACACTCCACACTCTGCACTTTACACTCTATTCTTTGCACTACATATTTGACACTTTACACTTTACACTTCACACTTTACACTTGACACTCCACAAACTACACTTCACACTTTACACTTTACACTCCACACTCTACACTGTACACTCCGCACTCTAGACTCTACACTTCACACTCTACACTTGTACACTCCGCACTTTACACTTGACACTCTATACTCTACATTTTTCAGTTTACACTCCACACACTACCCCTTACACTTCACACTCCGCACACTACACTTTACACTCCTTACTGTACACTTTACACTCCGCTCTTGACACTCTACACTTTATCAATTTACACTCCACACTATGCCCCTTCCACTTTCCACTCCGCACACTACACTAGACACTCCGCACACTACACTTTACACTGCACAATCTACACTTTGCACTCCACACTCTGCACTTTGCACTCCATACCCTACACTTTACACTTTCCACTGCGCACTCTCTACTTTACACTTTACATCCGCACTTTACACTTTACACTCGGCACTTCGCACTCCACAATCCCCACTTCATACCCTACACGCTACATTTCCCACTCAACACTCCATCGTCTTTACACCCCACACTTGGCATTCCAGCCCATGCCACATTCCACAGTGTAAACTGGAACGGTAACAGGGGAAGAATGCACAAGACTCTTCAAAGACCTTGTTTTGCAAAAGTTTGTTACGTGACTGCGTTCGAGGTGGGTCCTTAAGCAAATCCAAGCCTAAAAAATTGACAAGGAGGACATGATGTCTTGTTCCCATAAATATCTATAAAATAATTTGTTGATTCTCTGCTCCTATTCGCGGAATATTTGCCACGTTTGGTGAACAATCAGTTTTCACTACGTCTACTTTGGAAACCCTCATTGAGATTTATTCCAATTCAGCGGGATAGCTGCCAGGCATGCAGCACCGGGGCGCACAGAAGTTGATTCAAAAAATCACAACCTGAAAAGTTTTTTGACATAACTTGTATGGTTGGTGGGTGTATATGGGGTTTTGTGTGTACTTTATATTGTCCTTTTTTTTAATATTTATACAGACAGTACGTTTACTTAGTTCAATTTTCTGTTTTGTATTGCTTGGCCATTGTCTCAGCCGTCTAAGAAAGAGAGAGAGAGAGAGATAGTCTTATATGCTGTAAATCAGAATTTACTGATCAAAACCAACAAAACGTCAAGTAAGTAGGAGGCACCTTGCATGGCGTCATCAGGAACAGCTTCGCTCGGAGAGCTGGGATGTGCAATACGCTCGCAGCGTGCAGTGGGCCCTGTCGCGCTTGCCCGCTGCGTTGCTTGGTACGAAAACGTGCCTGGATTTGTTTGGTTTATCATCAGGATGTTCTCCAGTGAAAACTTGACCATTGTTTTTATATGTATATATATATACTGTTTATATTTAATTATTGTGGCATAATTGGAATTCTATATTTATCTGCGAAATGATTGGGACTTTTATTGGATATTAAGTTTGATTTGCTGAGTTGATATGTTCTTTGCCTTTTCCGTGGGCAATCTATCACTTGAGTAATCCAAGTTGATGGGGATAGGTCCTAAGGATTTGGCAAGTTGCGAGGTTGATTCTTTTGATATATAGCCTCTTTTGATGGATTTTAGCCAAAACAAAATGGCAATGTAATAGGGATATAGTGGTGAATAGGACAGGGATATAGCGGGTGATTTTGTGCAATTGTGTTTGACCTACCCTTCCGCCGGGAATCAAACATGGCGGGAAAACCATCCATTGAGTTGGATGATTTTCCCCGGTTTTTCCTGCTCCATTTTTGTTGGGGATTTCCCAGCTAGCCATGTTTGATTAGTGGCGGGGGGCATCATTTTCCCCATCAACGCGCCAGAAACTAATATAAATTGGCCCATTTTCAGAAACATTTAGGTGTGTCCATGTCTCACTCGATTTACGGGCCAGAAGCCATGCAACAGGTGCCATTACAGGTATCTAATGAGAGGATAATAAAGATTCTATATATACCCGCAAACCCAGTGTCTCGCCGTCGTCACTTTCGAAACTTGCCTTTCGTGCAGGCGAAACGCGTGTTTTTCTCTTTTCACTCCGAAACAAGGCATTTTAACCTGCGGTCACCAATGAATTTGAGCACGTGCATTTTGCGCGGCATGCGCAGTGTTTTGCCATGGTTGAAAAAGTATCATGTTCATCTTCGCTGGCAGGCGCGCGGAGTGCTCGCGTAGTTTGATGTGTTGAACGTTTTTAATGTTTTTTTGTGTTTCATGGTTCCGCGTATTTTTCTTCATTGAACGGCACGTTCATTTTGCGTGGCAGGGGCAATGTTTTGCAATGGTTGAAAAAGTATCATTTTCATTTTCGCTGCCAGGGGCACGGGATTTTCGCGTTTTTGTTTTGAAAGTGCGACTTATCGTTTTTTGTTTGGTTCATGTCTTTCACCCCTCAATGGAAGGTGAGTGTTTCTTTCACACTGTTTCAACGTGACACATCTTTTTGTATTTGTTATGTTTCCTTTTTGGTTTTTTTGGGGGGTTCGGGGGATGGGGGTGGGTGGGGGGTGGGTGGGGTGATAATAATAACGTTCCCACCGCGCCTATCATGTTACGCTTTTAAACTTCCTGTGCATACTCTTGATGGCACGCGCTGGGCTTTCCTCTCTTTCTTTTACTACTCAAGTCTCTTGTGAGCAACTTTTCATATTACGCCCTTAGCTGGTACGCTGTTGACATTTTATGTTAACAAACGATGCGTCGCCAGAACTCCCTTGGACGCAATACATGCAAAAAAAAATCAAGTCTTTGCTGCAGCCACGTTGCCTCGAAAGCCAGGTCTCCAACAAATTTTGGCTTCCATTCGGCTGTACAGAAAGGAATGCGCCGCTGGCCTTGTCAGAGTGTCACCTAGTCACGCCGTCAAAGCTGCATGCCGTCAGTCGCTCCAGTGAGATGATGAAATAGTTTCCTGCATGTGTTCCTGCGGGACAAGGTTTTGAAAACAAATGCAAGGGTGAAGATTGAAAAATTAGCAAAAACCTTCAGTTTTTAGCCTTTTTGGGGCGATGGCGAGACATAGGGTTTGCGCGTATGTATATATATATATATATATATTATATATATATATATATGTAGTGGCTGCTTTTTTTTCCATCAACTTGATCAGGGTTTTCTGTTTCTTAAGATGTTTGAGAAAACCTTCAATTTCTTTGATTATATAGATACCAAAGGTTCACAGAAGCTACGGAGTTGAAATCACAGAGCTTGGGTTGAACATGGGGCCCGTAAATTGGAAGGATGTTCCTTGACTATGAGCCTTGCATGTGGTAAGTAGCGTACCTCCGATTTAGATACCTGAAATGTCGCATTTTCTGTGGGATTTGACTCAGGATGAATCAAGCCCAAAAGTTCATGGTTTCCGCTTTCGACGTAAAACTGTGGCTGAGTAGTGTTACGCTTTGGTTTCATAATCGCCAGCAAAACAAAAGATACAGGATATCTAAAGATTAGCCATGTGGTCACCAAAGATGGCAATGGTTCAAACCCGATTGTTCACGGGGAATTTGATTTACAGTAAACGGCTTACAAACTGCTTGACGCTACCAGGTTGCACGAGGACAATGCAAGCATGGCAGCTGTTGCGTCTTAAAAATGATAGCCTTTTCAAAGGAGCCACATGCTATTTTGGTGGTTTGCTAAAAGGTAATCAGTTGTATGGCAAAATAGATATTCATGTGTTTGATTGTTTCTTAAGTATTCTACCATGTTTGTGCTCGCGGGTGGAAAACCGGCCAATATTGTTCTTTGAGTTTGGTGGTGTGCGGTGGGGGGTTGGGGGGTCAGATTTTCTCTTGCACCTGCTAACTATCTTGATGCTACGTTAGCAGGATCTTCTCTTGCACTTGATCACTACCTTGATGGTGGATTAACAAAATCTTCTCTTGCACGTTAACGATTTTGATGCTACGTTCACAGGATCTTCTCGTGCACTCGCAAACGATCTTGATGCTACGTTAACAAGATCTTCTCTTGAACTTGCTACGAGGCCCAAAGCCAGCCTTGTGGGCACACAGGTGTAATCGATTGCACGTAGAAGAAAAGCAACGATAAGATTCCCCCAGGCATTCATACTAAAAAGAGAGGCAAGATCAACAAAGATTTGGTGGCCAACGTGTGGCAGTGACAATGGCGCTCACAGCAGAGGCTGCGCGCTGAGAACGATTGCCAGGCAACTGCAAAAGCAAGTGAACATGTGAGGGCAAAAACATGATTTTCCAAAAATCAGGATGATTTTGAACAAGTTTTTCAGCCTTAAAAAAAAAAATACTGACAGGCGCAAGGAATTGTGGCTTTCAAGAGTGAAAATGCCTTCCCCTAATCCTCCCGCGCATATATTTTTGGTTTGTTATTGTTGTCGATAGCGATATATTGATTATTGTGTTCATTTACAAACCCTGCTGTTGTTTGCACCCCTTTAAAATCACAAATCTTCTGGAGGAGTTCTAAATGACTTCATTGTGATGTCCCTGAAAATGATGGTTAAAATTTTGGGATTCATCTCTAAATTTCCGGACTTTTCAGCTATTTTCAGGTTGGTGAGTTTCTATTGTATAGTTCAGACAGACGCAATTGTATATTTTCCGCTTATTTTTTTACTTAAACCGGAAATCGAGTCAACATTGGGTACTCCCAAAAATTGGCAACAGTATCCAACGGTTGCCTCCCAGCATTTCTTTGACATATATTTATATATGTATATATATATAGCTATAGGAAATGGATTAGTATGTTACATGTAGTTCGATGGTTAATCTATTAACCATATTGCGATTTTCCATAGCAATTTGTAACAGATTTCGTGACTTTTATAAATATTAATAATGGTCCAACATGTTCAGTTCTTGTGGGCATTGACCTTTGACCCATATCCAGATCCCAAATATCATGTGGTTGGTTATGTACCCATTATTTTTCAGATATATTGTTTATTTTGTTTATTTGCCAGCCCATCCCCCTAATATACCCATCATCTATCAGTTTCAACCGTGTTTTCTGCTCAAAACAATCTCCAATCTCCAAACTGGTGCCATGTTCAAAACGTTGTTGGTGCTCAGTTTGGTGGCTATGTCCGCTAACCAATACAATAATTGGTGATTATCACGGTCCTTTAGGACAAATAAAAACAATGCAAACCCCAGGTTATAAATTAAAAAACATGTTTCTCTACCACGTTTTTGGGTTATCTCTTCAGAGGCTGCTTTGCAATTATCATCTTTAAATTTTGGAAATTATTGCCCCTAAGTTTGGGTAATTATTGTCCCTAAGTTGGGTAATTTTTGTCCCTAAGTTTGGGTAATGTTTGTCCCTACGTTTAAGCAATTTTTATCCTCAAGATCTTAGGGACAAAACTTCCAAAATCGTAGGGGCAAAAAATCCAAAAACTTAGGGACAGTAATTGCCCAAATTTAGGGACAATTTCCCAAACTTGGGAAAAATAAACTTAGAGCGCCATGCTAAGTTATATACTGTATAATGTGGGCAACCCAATGCAATAAAACCTACCATTCGGGGATTGTTTGAATCACACCCATAAAAATGGTGATTTTGGTGGCATTGGGTTTGCCACATTATTGAGACCAAACTTGGGTTAAGAACCATATTGGCTGATAAGGTCTGTATTGGTTAATAATATTTATCATCCCCATCTCTAATTTACTGGGGATAGAAAGAAATATATTGCCGGATATCACGTTCTAAACCATGAACTGGTATGAATTATTTCTATCACCAAACCCTATGAAACCATTAGGATAATCCCCTTCTCAACCAGTTTGCATAAAGGGCCAATGTTCTCCAGGTCCATGGCTTCCAACATGGCGTTAAACACGGGCCTGGAGCGTGCGGTCGCGTTGGGTGCCACCTTCAGTGCGCTCGCTTGCGGCTCTGCACCTTGGGTATGATTATTCATAAGTTTCCCTTCAATATTTGCAATAGAAAGATGTTTCAGTGTCACTTATACCTTATATAATGTGCGTTTATTTGTTTATATCTTGCGACCTCAGTCTAGTTATTGTACTACTAAACCCATTACAGTACTTAGTCAAGTACCCGCCGGCTCAATCAGCCAGGCGTTGCTGTATGCATCCGGGGTTGACATGGTTTGATGAATATGGATTGTTGCAAAAAGGGCCCCCCAACGGATTGGTCATGTAATGATCGAACTATTAGTGAATATATATATATATATATTGTAGATGTATACTGTAGATATATACTGTAGTTATATACTGTATGTATATATATATATATAAGTCTAAAGTTGGATTGGTGAAACTGTTCATTCAAAAAAACATCGGCTTTAAACTGAGTTTCTCATGGTTTTCCCGAAGGTTTGATGCATCCCATGCGCCCCATTCCTGCCATCTTTGGCCGATCTTCAGGTCTTCGTGAGTGTCATCACCAACCTCTTAGCCGGCCTTGAACGAACCTCGGATGCGCCAAAAACATACAACGGTTTAACCGGAATATGATTTTTGATTTTCATAGGTAGGATTCATGGGACTCAAGCAAAAAAACATCGTGAAATAAATGTGTATCCCAGGATTCCCATGCATGAAAAACATGATGGGGATACCTTGGGAACTTGCCTAACTTGATAACCCTCTGACGCTTTCAGATAGGGATCCGTGCAGAGCCATGGTGATATTCATCACCTACAAGGTGGTGAACCTGTCAATAGCAGCTATATTAACAAATTGACACAAGCCTAATAGCTGTAACAGCGAGCACGATCTGCACGATTTTTGGCACGCAGGAGAGCACCAAAAAGCACGATCTAGAGCACGAGTGTTGGCACGAGGGAAAGCACCAAAAAACACGATTTTTGGCACGAGGGAGAGCACCAAAAAGCACGATCTAGAGCACGGTTTTTGGCACGAGGGAGAGCACCAGAAAGCACGATTCTTGGCACGAGGGACAACAACAAAAACCACGAGTTTGTTCACGAAGGAAAGCACCAAAAAACACGATCCAGAGCACAATGTTTCGACAAAGGAAAGCAATGCACGAAGGAGAGCACCAAAAAGCACGATCTACAGCACGGTTTTTGGCACGAGGGAGAGCGGCAAAAAACACGATTTTTGGCACGAGGGAGAGCACCAAAAAGCACGATTTTGTGCACGAGGGGGAACACCAAAAAGTACGATCTAGAGCACGATTTTTTGCACGAGGGAAAGCACCGAAAAGCACGATATTGTGCACGAAGGAAAACACTCAAAACAACGTTCGCCCAAAATATAAAGAATTCCTTTTTTTGACTGTTACAGCTTTTAGGGCGGACTCAATAAATAAATGCATAGATAAATTAATATATATATATATATATCTACTTTGCACCCGCCGGGAACTTATGGAACTTATAACTAAGTTAGGGAAGTTATATGGAAGTTATGTTGAGGGTTTCCAAACGTTTAAAATAACTTCAAAATAACTTTATTAACTTCCGTAGGTTGTTTTTTCGCCAAATTGTTGTTTAGCGTGTTTTCTAAGATTTCATGCATGTTTGAAACAGCTTGTGAGATATCTTGAGGATTTTTGTGTTTTTAACTGCCAGCACAGAGATTCGAAACTTTCACGTTTTTTTTTCCTAGCCGCGTTCGCGGGAGTTATTGCAAGAGCCACAACGTATTGTTGTCGTGGCGAACATACATGCATTGGGAGCAATTCGAATTAGTTGCGTCAGTGACGGGTAACAGCGCTTGACTGCCTTGCCGTGACCCTGTCCGCATCCACTGCGTTCGGCCAGGGTGGTTTTGGTCACCAACGGGTTCAAGCATGGTCACCAGGAGGAAAAAGGTATCTCCAGCCTGAACTGCGCTCAGAACCTCCATGGCCTTGCTGTTTGGCAGCAAGAAAAATTGTCCTTTGCCATAGCGGATCCCACGATGTTCCAATGCAGAAGCCACTTGCACCGGCTTGCAGGATCCCAGCAACTTGGACAGCGCGCAGCTGCTCGACGCAGAGCCTTGCAATTGCGTCTCCAACTTACTGACACTTTGCGGCGTTGCTAGTTCCATCGACACCAACTCCAGCAAAGCGGAGCGAGCGAAATTAGCTTTTCCTGGTTGATTGAGCTTTCCATTGCAAATGGATTTGAAGTGTCTGTGCTTCCGTTCACACACAAATGCGTCGAACGGACGCCCACGTTCTTGCATCTGTTCCGCGAGATGCAAAGAATAATGAAGCTTCGGACGACACTCGCCCGTAGTGTAAGCATCCACGAAACGCTGCATATGTTCCCGCTGGAGAACCAGCAATCGGCTCGCAGCCGTCACACTATCTTTGCATGCTTTCAGACAGATCACAACTGCATGCGAAGCTGCCAAGGAATTCAGGGCTGACTCCATGCCTGCATATCTGCCTCGGCACATTTCTTCGCCATAGGCGACGCACAGAGGCAGCACCTCCAGGCACGCTTGTGCATCACCTCGAAAATCTTGGTCGAGACGCCACAATTTGGAGGTAAAATGTTTATCCGCTCGCGGCGGATCAATTTGGCCCCCCTTCAGTGGCGCCCATGCGATCTGCATGTATCGAGTCATGTGCTCTACGGAGACTCCTGCCATCTGGTGGGCACGGGAGAACCACAGGCCCAACTCTTGTGCCACGAGGCCATTTGAAAACAAATGGTGCATGGAGTCAAACTGGACATGTTCTAAACTAAAGAAACCCCGCAAATTTCTTTGCGTCAAAGGAGATTCTGCCAGGGACGAAAGCTTGAAGCCAAGCATGACCTCCGTCTCCTCCCGTTTCTTCCTGGTCGTTTGTCTCTGTAAGATGTCGAATACATCATCCACATCTCTCTGAGTCTGCCGCAAAAACTGTTCCGGATCCGAACAGCTAACGTCGACGTGCGACGGGACATCCTCTGCGCGATGCAACATCAAGACATTGCGACATTTGATGCAAGGTTTCAAGCCCGAGGCCCCTTTGCACCCCAACGCAGATCGGATACCTTCGTGATCTGATAACAGTATAACGTGCGGGATCAGCAGCAGCTCAAACGCTGCTCCGATCCGCACTGGTAAGCCATGCTGCGTCTCTTCCTTGTAATGCGACAAAAGAGACGTCAACACAGAGGCAAAGCCTCCTCTGCACGTCTCATTGTCAGCAGCCTTGATGACGCTCAGTGTCATCCACAAAGATTCCAAATGCAAGAACTCGAAGTTCAAGAACGCAGCATACACCAATGTGCTTTTACGGCTCGCAGGAGCCGCCAACACATTGCCTCCATGCGTATCATCCGCATAGATGATCAGCGGCTGCTGAGCGCCATACCGCTCGTACATGCGCTGCATGCACGCCGCAAACAAAGGACACACCTTTGTTTTTGCTTCGATCAGCGCCTCTAAGGACATGCAATGAATTTGCAAAGGTGGCCCATCTCTGGGCACCATGATCTGCCGCATGCAAGGGAGAGCGAGGGGATGCGCATGCTCGAGTCGCTTGCACGTGCCCGCGCCCTCCTCGTTGTCATGCAGCAATGCCACAACCTGACGACATTCGGATTGTGTTAAAGATGGGATCTGACGTAATGCCGTGAACTGGTCCTTCAGGCTATCGCACGGATCAAGCTTTCTTCGTTTCATCAAGTGCAATCCCCATCTACATCCTGCTGCCAAAACAGCTGCGGTGGATCACAAACATGTGACATGTTTAGTTGACTTCCTATAGGAGTACTTGGGTTTACGTACGGTTGGATGTGACGCTCTGTCCTTATATGCTTTTCTATATATACATATATAGTATCTCTAGCCAGAATATTGTTTTATGTTGAGTTAGTTTCGACCTCACATTTCCATATGCTGCTGTGCCATGCATGCTTTCAAATTTCACCCTCCCAAACATGTGTGCCCACGCGGCCGTCCGCATGCACCCTTTTTTCGCAGAGACCCGAGCAGGTATGCATCACAATGAAAACCGCCAACGGCGGGGTGCGACCTCCACGTAGGACGCCGCAAGCTATGCCGGAACCAAGCGACATGTTAACGGCTCCGAGCGGCAAAAGATATGCAACCTCACACCCACGCAGGGCAGCCAGATGCAGCGGCCGGTCAAAACTTCCCACCTCCACGCAGGAGGACGCACCGGCCGACTGCACAGCATACCGTTCCGCACGCAATACGAGCGCACACGAGAGATGCTATACTCTCTTATCCGCTCTTCGGCGTGCTCTTCCCACGCAAGCGCTTCGATTTCTCTTCTTCATTTTGTTCCGCGGCCTTCTTTTTCGGCTCCGCTTTCGCCTTGGCCGCTCTCTTGGGGAAGCTTTGCCTCAGCGCTCGTTGCGCCTCAGTGCTTTGCTTGAGGAAAATTTTGACCTCCTCCCCATCGAAAGGCAAAGGCGTCAAGACCTCCGCCTTCTCCGACTGATCTTCGGATGCGCGGAGCTGCTGCTGGCGGTTTACTGCCTCGCGAGCAGCCTCACGCCATGTGATCGCCTTCGAGAAATGTTCCTTACACATTTCCAAAGCAGCCGCATCCTTCCCCTCTGTCTCCTCCCCCTTGGCGATGCATTTCTGCAACGACGTCTCCAAGGACGTCAGGGGTCCCAATGCCTTAGCGGCTGCATTAGCAAGGCGTTCGTTTTGCTGCAAAGTCTTCTTGGCCGCGGCAGCCTCCTGTTTCGCGGTCTTCGCGTCAGATTTTGCAGCCTTGGGGTCGCCCTGCGCCTCAGCCGGCAAATCAAGGTCTTCCTGGTTCTTGCGTTTCTTCTGGTTGGCCAACCGCTCCTTCTCAAGGATGCGTGCCTCTACTTTCTGGTACGCCTCCTGCCACGATAACGTGCGGATCGGTACCTTGTAGATGTCGCATCCATACTCTGCACTGTACTCACACGGAAACTTCTTAATGACCTCCTCCGGCCATCCTTGCACCGTGTACACGGACAGTGGGAGCTCCTGCACGGCGACGGTGGCACTGAACTTGGAAATATGTTCCTCCGTCAAACGGGACAGCACCCCGGCACGAATGGTCTTCCAAGCAAGGCTACCACCGTCGCTCTTCTGCGTGTCCCGCAAAGCACGGAAGAAGGCAACGGAATCCTCTGCAGAAAAATTCTGCACGTCTTCCGTATCGCCCAAATTTCTCCGAATTGTATTCTGCACATTATGACACCCCTGGCAAACGAAGTGTCGTCCGTGCACCCTGCCCGCGCTCAGCGAGTACTTGTAGCCACACGCCCTGCAGGCGTGATTGGCCTCATCGACAGCCTCAACCATTGCCATCGTGCTATCCCAGGAGGAGCCAGCGAAAGTGCGTGGTGCCTATAGGCCTTGAGCCTGGGAAACAGCAAACGGCAAGTATATAAGCGTGACCATGACACGAAAACCCTGCAAACAACGAAACATACCGACCAACCGCCCTCATCCCGCACTCATCTGACACATCATCCAGCATCACATCCCGCACTCATCCGCACGCATGCACACGCACGAAACCCTTACGAACCCATACCGCACTCACCCGCACTCAGTCCTTTTCTAGGCAGGGAAGTACTTCACTGGCTCTCCGCACGCATCCGCACCTAAGTCCCAAAACTAGCCGCTCATGCCGCACTCATCCACATTCACACGCACTCATTCAGCCATCTCCTCCTTTCGCTCCACTTGCGGTGCCCATATGTGCGCATGGCATCGTCTGACGCAGGAGCTGCGCACATGTACTCAGACATTCCTGGCCGATATGCAACCAGCTTTCTGTCCGGAGGTGATGGCCATCGTGCGGCAAAAGCGTCTGCAAATAGCGGAGAGTTGTGGCCGCCGTGCCAAACATTGCTGCGTTCACCGCAGCAGCGCCTGCGACATTGTCCCAGATGCTTTCATCTTGCTCCGGAACATAACACTTCACGCGGAAGCAATCTCGATTACGAGATTCTGACTCCATGCAGTGCTCCCAGTAATTAGTCCAAGAGATTGCAAGGAGATCGGCTAAGCGATACAGCGTCGCACGCTGTCGGGGACCGAAGCGTGGGCAGTGACCCGCAGTCACTAACATGTCCAAGAGACACTCCGCTTCATCTCTTCCCCGCGCCATGCCATGCAGCGTCTCGCAGACGCGTCGCGTGATCCAAAAATCAGCCTCAGTTAATGCCATTGGAGGCTTCCTTGACCCGAAACGGCTACGGACATAAAATGGCTGCGGAAAAATGCCACTTGCGTTCTGACGGTCTGACCCACTTAAGTTTTGCCGGCTCCACATCACCAACCCCGCACCTTTTTTCGCACCGATCAATTTCATGTCCAGTGCGGCCTGTGTGAAACGCGCTTGCACGTTTCCGAGCTATACATTCATTGCATCTATACCCATGGCTCTGCTGAATACAGGTACAGTTCGGAATGTGGTCTGTCAATATATAAATATATATATATAATTATGTATATACGGATATTCCATTGAAAGAATCCACTATATATTTCTATATAGCAAAGCAGAACCATGTATCTGAGCCAACGTCCTGGCACGCAGATAAAAACCTCGCGGGTTTTTCTACATCCTGGCGCGCAGCCAGCACGCACAAGGAGTGCGAAAAAAAAACATGCAGCGCGCACCCGTCCGGCGCACGGCGTCGCACGACAAGTTGAGGACCTCCGAGGTCCCCCTATATCCTGGCTCACAGCCAGCGCGTGCGCAGCCGTTGCCATGCAGGGCACACTCATGACGGCCGACTCAGCAGCCGGTGCATCTCAAAACCGCAAATTATTCGGCAACTTAATCACCAACTGGCGGCGATGATGTCGCCGTTTTTTCTTGTCCGCCCCGTCTCCCTCGTCTGAGTCCGTACTTGGTCGGCGACGCCTGCGGCGCGACCTGTCGACCTCCGGACTAGGATCGGGTTCCTTGCGCTTCTTCTTCTTGTCCTTCTTCTTCTTCTTATGGCGCGCCGGACGCTCCTCCAACGTCACATCAACTTCTCTCTCAGCTTCGACCGGCACAGCGACACTGCGATCGCGTTTTTCTTTGTGCCCACGAGCTGCAGGTATGGTCTTGCCTCCCGCAGATGCATGACCTGCCTGCTCACGCACAGCCTGCGCCTCGCGATTTTGTTTTGTCGCGACAGCCTCCGCCTGCGCCTCATCCCACGTGATCCTCCCACGGGCCGCTTCATAGCATTGCCACTGGATGCAATTGAGATTAAAGCGACGATGTTGTTCCAGTGCTGCTGGAAAGTTCGCCACCTCTTCCCAACACACCTCACACCATTGGGATTGCCGCGGCATTCTGCGACCTTTGCGCGCATCAGCTCGCGCAGAGGCTCTCGCCCGCTTGGTCGGAGGCGGTGGAGGCGACCGCGACGGCTCCCGCGGCACCACATCACGACCACGACCAGCTGCTGCACGCCTCGCGGGCGCGGGAGAGACAGAGTCCGACGAAGCCTCCGGAGGCAACGCAGCACGCCGCGGAGCAGGCGCGGCCTTAGCCTTCGCCGTAGCTGCGGCGCTCTCCGAATCGGACGACTCCGCGTCCTCGTCCGTCACAGAGTCCTCGGAACTCTCCGCTGGATGGCCATTGGGCATTCTCCGTCAAGTACCTGCATGACAAACAACCATAAGGAAGGAATGAAACCCATGCAGCAACACGTGCGAAACCACTGCTCATGCAATAACAACCCCCGCCTGCAGGACACCGAAGACGAACCCAACGGCCACGAGTATGCTAATTTATATATATGAGCCAAACCACAGAACATATGCACAAACGGTATATCTATAATGATCCAAACGACATAACATGCACGTTGCCACAGAAAAACATGAAACATCATGAAACCATATTAAAACCCAAAAGCCACCCCACGAAACGGAATGCTGCCCTTTTGTCACGCACTGAGATGTCTTCTCTGTGGTCGAAGATGGTCTAGACCCGAAACCCTCTTTTGAACCAACATGAATTGCAACACATGGGTCGGTTGCGACAGGTCGTGCAACCGTTGGCAAAGCGTTTCTTCAAGGCCGAAGGAATGGAGGCCAGCAACCTCTGTCGGTAGGTATTCCTTCTGACCTGACACGCTTTTTGCCTTCGTTCCTGACTTTCCATTGGCCGTCTGCGACTTTGCCTTTGCCTTGCAAGCATGAAGCTGCGTCGCAGCAGGTCGCGCAGACCCCGCCAACGAAGAAGTCCTTCGATGAGGAACGCCTGGCAGTGCTGCCTCGCAGGCAGCCGGCCGCTTCCTGGATCCAGCAGACCCACCGCCAACAGGCGTGACCTCGCGCGCCGCTGGCCGCTTCTTGGCGCCCGCAGATCCAGCAGGCGCAGCAGCCTGTTTCTTCGAGCTTGCCGCGACCGGTTTCTTGGAGGCCGGCCTCTTCTTACTGCCCGGCTGGACATCTCCTTCGTCCGGCGTGGCCACAGGCGCGCGCAACGCCTCTCGCAAGCCCTGCAATTGCGACTCCACGGTTGGTGCCTCGCAGGCACCCTGTGGAGCGCTCAGAGGAGGATCCTCCTTTGCATCCTCCAATGCCAATGGTGCAATTGATGCCTGTCCCGCAGACAGGCTGTGTCTCCCAGATCCGGACTGTCCCGCAGACAGAGGAGGCTCGCAACCGTTTGCCGAAGGGAGGTCCAGCAACGGCAATGGCCTGGTTTGGTTCGCAGACATCGATGATCCTCCCGCAGAGGACGTTGAAGCAGAGCGACCCAAAGCCCCTTCCACGGCACCAGCAAAAAGTTTCCCCAGGAAATGCGTATACTCATCCGCCAAGCCCGCCGAGAACCCCTTGCCATCATCGCCTTCGCGACGACGCAACGGAAATCGCCGCACGACTTCCTCATAGTGACGGAGCTGAAAGCCCGGCGGTGTATACGCATGAAATCCCTGAGGAAAGGCATGCTGCATAAGCTCTGCAGGGCAATCGTCCACATTTGTGGGCAAGGCTTGCAGATATACCACAGGATCCGCCAAATTGGCCAACCAACGTCGAATGTTGGGTTTCGATTCTTTCAACGCAGACACCTTCTCGCTTTCGCTGATCTCCTGCGCTCGCAACGCACATGTCGAGAGCCAAACTAAGCCACCTATCGTGGGCTCACTTGGGCATCGCATTCCCAAGGAAATGCAAAACTTGACCAAATACTCCAACCGATCCTTTTGGTTGCTGCTGGTCAACAACGCATTCCAAATGCGCTCGGGGAGATAACGCGGAAATGCAGTGAAGTCTTGCATTTTACGCCTCTCTTTTCCTTCCGAAACCTTCTGGGCCAAGGCATGCTTCAAGCTCTCTAGTTCCTCTTGATTCCAAATTGTCGGATCCAAGCTTGCCACTAAATCAGCCACAGCACCAGTGCTTTGCGACGCTGCCTTTTCTATAACACCGCTCAGGTGCTTCAACTGCCGCGCCTTCACGTCCGCAAACGTTGGCAGGGAGACAAGACCTTTCAAGAACTTCTGCGTCGCCTGCAGATGTTTCTCCATTTCCGTTCCAAAACTGCCAACAAAAGGGCGTTCTCATGCCATTGAGCCAAAACATCGATAGGTGCCAATTCCAAAGCATTTTTCCACCGGAACACAACAACATGCAAAAAAAACATAAAAACATAACTACCTTAACTTCCAAATAACTTCTAGCAACGGTCATGTTACATGAACCCTAACTAACTTATAACTAGATAACTATTTGATAAGTTCCACTTTTTTTGAGGAAGTTATATCGAAGTTATCAACTTACAACCTAAGTTATCCTATTATAACTTCCCTTTTAACTTCTATATAACTCCATAAGTTCCCCGAGGATGCAAAGTATCACTGGCCATTGATCTTAACAGCAGATTGAGAGGTTGATGATGTTGATTGATTGTAGCCACTTTTACCCAGGTTTGATGACACCTAGTACACAATTTTTGGCTGAAATCAGTACCTGTTTCCATCAAGTTCCCATTTTTTTTGGTGACGGAAACCGTTGTTTTGATGGTACCTAATGTTGGTTAAGTGAGACTTGGTTTCCACCCTTCCGATTTGCAGAGGAAGTCGACAACACAAGAAGAACATGCTGAAGGCATCCGGAAGCCACTCAAACGCAGGAAAAAAACCATGGATATGTTAGTTACAGGGTGGTGACTTAACTTAACCATCATACAGTGGGATTTAACTGATTTAACTACCAACAATGGAGGTACAATAGGATATATAAGAGTGGTAAATTGGGGATACCCTGGTTTTATCAAACCTTGTTGGCTGGGAAACACGCACGAAGTAGATTGGCATTCACATGGGAAAATCATCGAACTAAATGGGGAGTTTCCACCATACCATGTTGATTAATGTTGGATACTGATTAGTGTAGGGCCTCCCCCCAACAATTTTAGGCTACTCAATAACTCGGCATTTTCTGGGTTCCCCCCTTCACAATTTCTTAGGATAGTCAACTTAAGTAAGGATTTCAAGTAATGTTCCTTTTAAACCTTTACAAAACCTATTGATAAGGAAGGGCTTCAGTTGAAATCAATTTACTTTCAATCTCAAAGAAATCTTTGATGAGAAAGAAATTTACTTGAAATCCATTTGCTTTCAATTCATGTGAATCTAGTTTCGGTTAATTTCCCTTTTAAACCTTCAAGAAACCTATTGATAAGAAAGGGTTTCGGTTGAACACAATTTACTTTCAATTCATATGAATCCACTTTCAAATGAGTTTCCTTTGGAGCCTCAAAGAAATCTATTGATAAGAATGGATTTCAATTGAAATCACTTTGCTTTCAATTCATTTGAATCTGCTTTAATTTGATTTTCCTTTCAAACCCTCAAGAAATCTTTTGATAAGAAAGTAGTTCAATTGAAATCAGTTTACTTTCAATTCATTTGACAGAAATCTACTGATAAGAAAGGATTTCAATTTAAATCACTTTACTTTCAATTTATTTTAATCTACTTTCAGTTGATTTTCCTTATAAACCTCAAAGAAATCCGTTGATAAGAAAGGATTTTAATTGAAATCAAGCTACTTTCAGTTCATTTGAATCTACTTTCAATTGATTTTCCTTTTAAACGTTAAAGGAAACTATTGATAAGAAAGGCTTTGAATTGAAAATAATCTACGTTCAATTGTTTTTCCTTTTAAACCTCAAATAAATCTAATGATAAGAAAGGGTTTCAATTGAAATCAATTTACGTCCCCTTCATTTGAATCTACTTTCAACTGATTTTCCTTTTAAACCTCAAAGACAACTTTTGATAAAAAACTGATTTCAATTGAAATCAAATTACTTTTAATTCACATGAATCTAGTTTCAAATGATTTTCCTTTTGAACCCCAAAGAAATCTATTGATAAGAAAGGTTTCGATTGAAATCAATTTACCTTCAATTCATTTGAATCTACGTTCAATGGGTTTCCTTTTGAACCTCAAAGAAATCTACTGGTAAGAAAGGATTTCAATTGAAATCACTGTGCTTTCAATTCATTTGAATCTACTTTAAATTGATTTTCCTTTTAAACCTTCAAGAAATCTCTTGATAAGAAATGATTTCAACTGAAATCATTTTACTTTCAATTCGTGTGAATCTACTTTCAATGATTTTTCCTTTTTACTTCCAAAAACAAACCCCAAAAAGTTTTTGCGCACAATAGGGTGCCATCGAACCAAGTACATTTTTGAGGATCTGGGTCACTCATGGCGTACCCAGCTGAATAATTGTTTTGGAGTTGTGTTTAATACTGGTTTAATAAGGCATCTCGTTATTTAAGTAACCTTGCATTTTCAAGGCTTTAACATGGATATGTTTTTTAAAAGTAAACGGACCAGCTTTACCCAAAGAAAGGTGCATAAAGGAGGATAAAACTCCTCCTGGAAAAATTGGATCTGAGAAAACAATCACAACTGTGTTCTTTTCAAAGTGCGTGAACAATTCCATTACTTTTGGGGAGTTGTCTCACAATAGAGTCCCATGACACTGATCGGGGTCCAACATTACCAGATGATTTTCAAATTTGATCAGCAGGTTTTGAGGTAAACCCATTTTTTTTGAAACATCAAGAATAATGTTACAGGATATTTGCCCAACATCAAGAACTGCTGGTGTTTGTTTCTCCCTTCTGAGATGATGATCGCAGATATCGCAGCCGACTGTTGGCTCATATTATGAGTAGATCTTGAGAAAATACCAGGGAGGGTTCAAGCAACTATTGAAACCTCAAATGGTTTTCAGTTCGCAAGGACTTGTCACATTGTGTTGTTCCTATTTCTATCTTCATTCACCAAACATCAAGCAGAGAGGAAAATTCAACCAAGAAACCTATGGTTTTTTGAAGGGTTTTAAAGGTGCACACCACGCAATAAGCTACAAGATTTTGGGGTCGATTTTGGAGCTGCACCTCATTGATTTCTGCTGTGCGACTTAGTCATAAAATGACCATTCCCCGAATTGGTTGAAAGGACAGCCTACAGGAAACCCACAAAAAAGTAGGGGACCCATGGTTTCCTGTCAATTGTCCCCAGACATTCAACCCATTGAATTTTGAAATGTCATGAGTTTGCTGACTCACACATGTCTGTCTAGATATGTTGATCTTCATGGCAAAAACCAACAAAAGACAGCTCAGAGAGCACATCGTGGAACGCGCACCCAGGCTACATTCATGGCCACAACTTGTCACAGAAACATCTCAAGCAGGCGAAGGACATCGTGGAACGCGTTTCTTGGATGTCGCCAAGTGCTTGGGCAATAGATATCAATAGATATAGATATATTTATATATATAGATATAGATATAGATATAGATAGATATCAAGTGTTGTCAGTATATGTATCTATATATATATATATAAATAGAGTTATATTTAGTGTTTTGATTGGTTTTGACCATCAAACATAATGCAAAAAATGGGATTCAAATGGATTCAACGAACATCAACAGTTACTTGGTGATTTAACGATGATTGAACGCGATTTAACGAACACAAATGGTGTCTTTGTTGATGGGATTTCACCAGCGGCCTGTTGTGATTTTTGATGGGTCCCGTGGGTAAACTTTGAGCTATCCCCCACCTGGCCTGTGTTGCTAGCGTTGAACACGTTCAGTATGTTTCCTTGGGACATCCTGAAACTCTACTTGGACAGCTCCTAGGAAAAGTTGCGCCAAGAAAAGATGTGTCTTGGCAGCAATGTTAGCAAGCGGCCATTGTAATCCAGGCATTTGGCGGCTGGTAACACATTTTTGTTTCATTTAGTGGGACATGAGACAGGTATCCGATAGATTTGGGTGGTGATTGATTTTGAGTAATGACCGTGCACATCGCAACAAGAGCTTACATTACAAACGGGTTTCCCACCCGTTTAGATTGAATTATGAACACCAGTAACTCTCTCTCTCTATATATATATATATATGTGCACTTATATAGATATCTACCATCATAAACCCTAATTAACTTACTTATACTAAGTCGGGGTCAAAACCTTGTAGTAATAAGGTTGTACCTACCAGTGAGCGTCTATTCTACATGATCTACCAAAGATGACTGTGCAGCCGCTCCAGTGAACCATTTTACTATGTCACGAAGGTATTGAGTATCTCGGCATCGTTGTTGGCGATATCCTGCACTATATACATCGATAGATAGATAGATGTAATTAATGACTAATGTGTATAGATGTATATATGTGTAGCACATTATTATTTCAATGCATAGTATATATATAGTTAAGTTATTTATCTTTATTTGTTATATACAATGAATGCATCGATATATATATATATACACATATAGGTGTACCTGCATTTAAATATGTACACATACTATGTACTTACTATATCTCTAATAAGCGTGAACCATTATTGTTTGTTGCCATGACAACTGCAGGAACCAGCTCAAGTTCCTCCAAGACCTTCCCGAGAATTTCCGTCAGGCAGAGAACAAAAACTGTGCAGAACTTTCTGTTTTTTTGAAACACCTAAGCTTATATACCGAGAAAGATCCGAGAAGGATCTTCCAAAATTTATGGAAGCTATAAAATCTACTTCCAAAACTCTGCTGGAATTTAAGATGGGGGGCCATAGGTTATGACCGAAACATCTTCCTAACCCGTGTACTGGGGTTCCAGTAGCTAAACTCTATCTGGATGGGTGAACACCTATTGTAATCTCCCCCTTTTTGGCTGGTCAATCCCCAATGTCCCAATTCCCGGGGGTTTCCATGTTAGAATAGGGCACAGACCCCGGAAGCTCTGGTCAACAAAAATAGTCCAATGTTGTGGCAAATTTACCATAAAAGAACGTTTACATACCAATCGAATCCTTATCGCTGCTGGCTACATCCCATTTTCTGAGGATTGGCTGTTGAACCACCATTGAAATCCACCATTTTTTTCTTCTGAGAGGTTTTATTCTGTGAAGCTCGTGGGCAAATTCTCAGCATTCTGAGCTTCTACAAGACCATCCAGGAGGCCTTCGTGGGTCGGCCACGGAATCTGACGATGATGAAATAATTACTGTAAATGGAATTCAAATTGATAGACATTCATTTATGATCATGTACGATTCTGCTTATGAAAGTTAAACTATATAGTTAACTTTCTGGTATTGAATAGACTGAACGATTGGGATCTGTGAAATGGGGAGGCAAGGGGCTCGCAAATTCTGAATTGCATGTGTGCTGGCTATGACCTATTGACCTTCTTGATTGGATGCCAACCCGCTGGAACTCAATATTATTTGTTTAAAGGAAGATGCTTGGTGAGGGGAATATCCATGATAATTACTGATTTTGGTTTGCTAACATGTTAATCCCGGACATGTTCTATATGCATGTAAAATCATAGATCACAAATGATTTGGAGAATGATCGATGTTGACTCTACCCCATGAAACTTGTGCACCAAAACAGATATGACAAGTCCCTGTTCATTGAGTTCATTGTGCTGTTTTCATCCCTTTTCATGAGAAACTCAGTGTGGCTACCCGTGGTTAGATCCAGTCATTTTGGCCTTGGTTGGGCAGAATTAGGTCGGCCAGTTCTGTTGTTTTTTTGGGAGGACTTCTCAAACCTGCCTTTTGGTCTCGTAGAAGATCGCCTTTATGGAATTAATTAGTTATAGTGAATTGGTATCTATTCATTCAATGGGAAAACGATGTGAAATCCTTGTTTTTAATATGTCAAGTTAAATCCCTACACCGTCATTATGGTGTAATCCCCATGTCTAAAAGTACTGTAAAAGTGAAATCAGCGAGCACCAAAACTGTTTGCCTGAAAATCCGTCCCTTTGTTGCTTCAATCATCTGAAATCCATATTTTCGGTTGGTTTCAATCACACGTTTTGCGGGTGAAATCCCAACTTGCCCCATGTTTTTGGACCTTGTTTCACCATGTCAGGACGATTCAGCAGAGGTGAACCTTTGCTCGACGGCAGTGTCGGAGCTCTTCCTCCTAGCCAAGGAGCGGTGTTTGTTGCGGCACAAGAGCCAAGTCTATAACGTGGTGCCGCATAGTTGGCTAAGTTGGTTTACATAACTCCAACACATATCGAAGTAACTAAGCGAGGTTACAGACCAACTAACTCGGTTTGGTTGTTTGATTTGTTGGGAGTTGGGAGTCGTACAAACTGGTGTGTATTGGGAATTTATGTAACCCACAATTGCCCATAATAATCATAAGAGGAATATCTACTAAGCAACCAGTTCAATTCGATGGGATAGGGAAAATTACTAAGCTATGTGTTCCTTGCTCAGGTGTGAAGAAATGGGGAAAAACAACAAAGTGGGGATGCACCCAATGTAGATCATCACCTCAGGGGTCACCACATTCATCAATCAATGGCCATTGGAGGTACCTACCATTAATATAAGGCCTATGTTTTAGGGCTATATAAGGGGATATACCCCCAAAATATGGCCAAAAATATGATACAATACCTCCATTTTAGGATCCTGAAATTCCCATTGAATCAACCAGTGTTCAGTCATGATAAGTCATCGGCGTGATGACATTTCAGGTCTGGCAACCGCTCTAATTTATTGCGCTAGGAATTGCCATATTGGTCAAACATAGTGAATCGTATTTCCCTTCCATTTTTAGACTGGATGAATTATAATGATCTCACTTTGACGTCATTAGGAATGGTGGTTACTGAAAGGAATCGTCCTCAAATTGGTTTTATTTCAGCCATGTTCAGGGCGAATGATCATCCCCTGCGGGCCGCCCCAATGTCCCAGGACGAAGTCTTCCGCGCCAATGTCCAAGCCAAAGGCAGGGCAAACGGTGGCAGTTTATGGCCCAAAATTTAATGGTCGAACTATTTTACAGTCAGATGGTAATTAAAATTGGCAGTTCTTGGTTGTTTCTGACATGTTCAATAAACTCATTTGCGGTTATTGCCTAATCAATCGCATTGTTTCTCGATATTTATATAGTATCCAGCATCCTCAACCATATAATTAATTTGGTTTGGTCAAAAGGAAAGCGTTTAGTAGAAATTGGGAGAAGATACGTCTCCAGGAAAGTGCAGGGGTGGCATTGGATTTACGACGATGGCGAGGTCTCTTTCTGGTCAGCGGATGCACCTACAGCATTTTGTCGTTGGAGATGGAGCTAGGCCGCTGGCAATGATGGTCCGGGCCAACTGTGTGGTTAGAGCCACCCTGTCAGTGTGGATATGCTAACCGGTTGAAGATGGAGGTCTTCTTACGGAGGGCAATCACCATATCCCAAAACACAAATACCATATAGGTACAAGGCTTAGCTGGGGTCAGGGTCGATCAGCATAGATCAGCCACTTATGATTCTTAAGGGGACCCATTTTTGTTGCAGACAAATGTTAAGTACCCTTCGGTCGTTCGACCAGGCAATTGAGAAACTTCTCGTGTTGACAAAAATCTGGAACTGATCAATGGATTTGGGTGAATCATGTTGATGAATTACAGCCACCAGGGTGGTAAATAGGTTTTTCTTTTTCTTTAGAATTATCATAAGTTTCTCCCCTTGTCTTTGGGGTGTTTGGAACAACCCCGATGCCATGCGCGCAGGTAGCTCAACGGTTTCTGTTTGATGGTAACACCACGCGTATGTTATGTTTAAATCTTAAGTGTTGATGGTGAATTCCCCACAGCCCTCACGTTTGATGGTGAAATCCCGGTGGGTACTATAGTTTTATAACTCAGCTGACTCCACGTTTTTTGTCAGGGTTGCAGCGCACAGTTTTTAATGGTTAAAGGATCCCAATCGTCTAATGGATACCCTCTGGTAAACTAACATAACTATTGAAAGTGGCCATTATTTATAGTGAGTTTTCCCATTAAAAATGGTGATTTTCCATAACTACGTTAAATTACCAGAGGGTAAAGGATCCCAAACATCTAATGGATATCAGTTTGGTTGGTCGCATTGATGCCTCGGTTTTTCGTCGTGCTTGCAGGCAGTCCTACAGGACGCAGTAGTTCACAAAGTGTGGTGCCGCCACAACGAAAGTGCCCTGGAACAAAAGCTGTTGCGTTCTTTGCTTGGAAGACCAACCGACAAATCGCAAATATGGCATTGGGTTTAAGAACATTATCCGTTTTTGCAAGTGTTTGTTCACATGTCATGTTTGTTGGTTCCGTCCCTACTTCAGTTATTGGCTGTGCTTTTTACTGGACTATATGTATTTTCTGCCGCCTAGTTATCTATGAGGACCTGACGTCGCGACGTCACCGGAATGATGGTGAATGTATAGGGAATCATCCCCAAATGGCTGCTTTCCAACTATTTTCAGGTAGGTGAAGTATTTTCCTTCAGCCGGATATATTGTATCCATTTTTTTCTCGCTATTCTACACGCGAAGTCATAGCCTGGCCTTCAGGTTTGGTATGTGTCAAACAATCTCCAAGTGCAACCCAGGTTGATATCTTCCCGAATGGGCCGACATGTGAATCTGCTATTTGGGTGTTTTGCCTCATTAAATAGCATGTTCCATGAAAATCCCATTTTAACAGCAGCTAACAGCAGCTAATCCCATTTACATTCAATGCCGTTCTCATTTCGGTCAATTTGACGATTGAATCCTCGATTGAATCCTTCAGCTCTTCGCAGATCCTTCGCTCCCGCTCTCCATCTCTCTTGGCTTGACTTCGGGATGCCATCGGATGCAACCGGATGCTTTGGGTCATCCCCAGTCCCAACAAAAATTGCCTTCAGTATCCACTGGTGATACCTGGTGATAACCCATGGATACCTAAGTTTAGCCATGAAAATACACAACACAAAGTATCCCAGTTATCCCATGTTTTATGGCAGAACCCATTAGAACCCTCTAAAATTTTGTTTGAACACATGATTTAACCGATGGTTACTGTAACTTCGGTAGGATCCAAATCAATCCCAACCGATGTCCAGTTCCAGGATATCTAAGCCTACAATTGACCCTGATCTTTTCAGGTCCTTTTGGACAAAACCTTTCTCATGGCTGATAAAGAATGCCACGGTGGTTCCCAGTGATGGAGACTATGCTGGCTCTGGTGTAACCAAAGTCGCTGGTTTTGGGCAGATGGCCGTGGGATGCCCAAACGTTGTGTGGGGGGAGTGGGAGGATAATGATGATGATGATGATGATGAGGAGGTATATAAATTATATATATATATGGTTATATGGTATATATACGGTATATATGGTGTGTATATATATATGGTTATATGGATATATATATATATGGTGTGCATATGGTGTGTATATGGTGTATATATGGTATATATATGGTTATATGACAAATATAATATAGTATATATGAATATGATGATGATGACGATGAGGAGGAGGAGGACGAGCATGATGACAATGTTGCGGACGATGATGTTGAGGATGATGATGTTGAATGATGTTTTGGACGGGTAGGTGCAGGATGATGATGTTAAGGATGATGAGGTGGAGGATGGGGTTGAGGATGATGATGTTGAGGAGGCTGAGAATGAGGATGCTACTGCGGAAGATGAGCTTCTCATCTCATCCCATCTCCTCTCACATGTCATCTAAGAAAATTCTTCTCAACTGTTTTCATCTCATCCGAGCACTGATCAACCTTTCTTATCTCCACGAAGTTCTTCTCAACTCATCTCAGCTGTTCTGCACGCCAGAAAAAGCTCTTACTGTCAGAGAGAAGTCTCTTGCACAAAAAAACAATTGGGCGCCGAGAGTTTTTGCACACAGACACTTGAGACGCAGATGCATTTACACAGAAAAGCCTTTTCTGAAATATGTTGCACAACAAAGCATGCACGCACTTCCCAGTACCACTTTGTACTACACAGCTTGCACAAAGAACTTCCCAGTACTACTTTGTACTACAAAGCTTGCACAGAGAAAGCTTTTACACACAGCTACTTCTTCCGCAGAGAAGCTTTTACACACAGCAAGCTTTTTAAACAGAGAAGCTTTTACACGCTTTTACACACAACAAGCTTTACACAAAGAAGCTTTTACACACAGCAAGCGTTTACACACAGAACACTTTTACACAGAGTCCGTTTACACATGGCAAGCGTTTATACACACACAGAAGCTTTTACACACCTCAAGTTTTACACACAGGAAGCTTTTACACACAGCAAGCTTTTACAGAAAAATAATGACACCGAGAAGCTTTCTTGTACATAATGACAACAACAAGAATTATAGCTCCAAAACCGGATGGGGATCTCGGCGCCAAAGCAAAAAAACGTGTATTGAAGTACTTTTTTAAAATAATTTTACAAGGAAGTCACCAGCGCCAAAATTGAGAAAATCTTCTGACAAATCATTATCGCAGCCTTGACGCAACAACTCCAATACGATTTACGATGTCCAGCCGCCAGAGAGAATAGTATTACGCATGCAGCCGCGGCGCCAAGCAACCTTGACGCACAGTTACAGTGCGTTTTGCAGCATCACTCGAAACCTGCACGTATCTACGCACATGTGGCAACACCAGATGACAACAATCATGCAGCCATTCCAATGCGATCCGCAAATTGTCATTCAAGAAACGCATAGAACATCATAGAACTACGCACGCAGTAACAACCACTCGTTGCAGAACACAAAGGAGGAACTAACCAAAACGACCGCAACCGCACCCGCCGCACAAACGAGGTACCTTTCATCGCGGGCCGCAGCCACTTTACACGGAAAAACACACAAGGTTTCGTAGTTTCGTGCTCCCGCTTCCTCCCCAAAACAAAGCCCATGCAACATTCATGCAGCCATTACAATGCGGTTCGCAGCATCACGTCGCAAACCTGCACGTATCTACGCACATGGCAACACCAGATGACAACAATCATGCAGCCATTCCAATGCGATCCGCAAATTGTGATTCAAGAAACGCATAGAACTACGCACGCAGTAACAACCACTCGTTGCAGAACACAGAGGAGGAACCAAAACGACCGCAGCCGCACCCGCCGCACACACGCTTTTCATCGCCGTCTGCAGCCACTTTACACGAAAAAAAACAAGTTTCCGTGCCCCGGCTTCCTCCCCACTTCCTAGGTCAACACTTCCCTTAGCCGCCACTTCTCAAATTCACCACACTCTCTTCATCACCACTTCTCTTCATCACCACTTCCTTTCATCACCACTTCCCTTCGTCACCACTTCCCTTACAGTAGTCACCACTTCCCAAAGTCACCACACTCCCTTCGTCACCACTTCCCTTCGTCACCACTTCCCTTAGTCACCACTTTTCCCTTCGTCACCACTTCCCTTCGCCACCATTTCCCTAGGTCCACACTTCCCTTCGTCACCACTTCCCTTCGTCACCACTTCCCCAAAAGGTCACCACTTCCTTTCGTCACCACCCTCTGTCATAGCCTATTATTGTTTTGTGATGTATTGTTATCTGATGTCACGAAAGGTAGCCTAGGCATGCCCAGGCTACCTGAGTTCCATGTACTTTAGTACTAGTTTAGTACTGGGGGAGATCTCCACATAAGGGAGAGGGCCCCCCCTCCTCCCTTCGATTCCTCACTGGTCCGGGTTCAGCCACGCATATTGTTGCCGCTGCTGGCCTCAAGTGATGAGTTTCCAGGAACGAGTTAATGTATTGTCATTGCGGCTCCCAGTTGAAGCACAGTATACGTTCTAGATGTGCAATGCACAAGCAGAAAATCGCCTCGAACTCTCAGATAGCCTATTGTTTGGCCTCTACTGTTGAGGGCTTCGCCCAGGAGCGCCGACCCCATCTCAATGCGCAAGCATCACAGTTCTGCCCTCTTCCTGCACAGAAGCCAGCACTTGTTCTACCAGGACATTGGCCGCCTTGTCTTGAAGATAATGCATTAATGTATATATAGTTTCGCTTTATACTAGATTCCTTCCACTTGTTCTACGAGGACATGGACCGCCTTGTCCTGGAGCCTGGAGATAATACGTTTTTTTTAAAATACAAACATGTATATATAGTTTAACTTGTTACTAGATCCCTGCCACTGCTTATACCAGGACATGGGCTGCCTGGAAGGAAGGAAGGCAGGAAGGAAGGAAGGATGACTTGCGTGTGCAAAAGTTTTCCTATTTACCTCAACCTCTCCTGATACCCCTCAGCGCACGCGCATCCTGTTTCACCCAGCACACATGCATGTACGTTGCGTTCTAAACTCATGACAGAAGAAAGTCCATTGCAATGGCTGTTTGCACCTGCCTGTACTGACTGTGATACTGTTGCCTTGGCAATTTTTTCCTGCCCAATAAGAAGCAATTCGGTGCTCTACGCATATCACAGACACGCAGCTGAGCTCCATGCTCCACCTGGAATACTTTACGAGACCACTCGATGTTCTTCACAGGTCATGGACAATGCTCATGTTAGATAAGAAAACAATAGCAGTATGTCCCTTCGCAGCGACACTTATCCCTGAGCCTCAAGCCTTTTAATAGTTCCCACGAAACAAGGACGGCTTCGTCTCCTGCAATTCTTGATGTTGCTTTTGCTTCAGACATCCTCACGCACTTAGCCGCATGAAGGTTACATCCCTAAAGACATATCCCTACACGCAAAGTGCCTCAACCGAGCGTCCATCGGTTGAGGCACCTTGGCCCCTCTAATTCACATAGCTGGCCAACAAACTGACTAGCATTATCTGGCTTGTGGTTCCTATTACTGACTATGGCACAGGGTGGGTGGAATGCAGATATTGAGACAAGATGCATGCAAGAAGTTGTTGATGCCGGGGAAGTTCGGCATATTGTTGATGCCGGGGAAGTTCGGATATTGCAACAACAAAAACGTAAGAAGTGGTGGAGAGGCCAATGGGGGAAGTCTACGTGTGAAGTGAAATGGATGCAGGAAATTGAGAGGCACCTAGGGGGAAGGGAAAGCTCGATATTGAAACAGGATGAGCGCAAAAAGTTGTTGAGAGATATGCCCCCACCTACCTTTCGACCCCCCTCTCAAGGAAAGTCCCACACCGCCCTTCATGAATGTATTGGTAAATCGGAAGATTGCTTCCCAACCTCCTTTGATAATTGTAAAGACCGTTGTTCAGCATGTCCCGACATTGTCAGCGTCAAACTACAATGGCAGAGACCTTTTCATGTCATCATCATCATCATCACCATCATCATCATCATCGTCATCGTCATCGTCATGAACATAATCATCAACAATATTGAAGTATATGATTCTTTTACTTTCCCCCACGCTGTTTGGGGTCTCTTGCCGGGATATATATATATATGTGTGTGTGTTGTTTAATAGTTAGTGTTGTTCTTTTCTTCAACCCTGCGCAAGGGTTCTATAATCATGAAACATACTGGGATGCAATGGTATGATGGATGAATGCTGGTCAATTGATGACTATTGTTGTGCTAATCATTCTAATATATGTGTCCACGATTCTGACATTGCCCGTATCACTTGGTTTCTTAACTCATGTGGTATTTTAGTGGATCCGAATTGTTTGTGTTTTTTTTCCACCAGGTTACATACAGATTAATTCCGGATTGATCACATCTACCGCACAAAGATTAACTTTTCACACTGGGGTTGAAGGAAAATTTAACCCCGCTACAAAAATGGCTACGAGCCACCTGGCTACGAGATCCCCAAAGATGATATGAAGTTTGCTACCAAACCATTGGTGTTTCAACCAGTTATGTTTTCAAGTTGATGATTAAGATATTAAGGCGCAAAACTGAGCAGTTGCGGAAAATCACACAAGGTTGTAGCATCATAATTATCAACATGTTTTATATACAGGCAGCTAGTTCCATTCAGCACATCAGCGCAGCGAATCCCAGGTCAGGGTGTCCATCGAAGAGCCCATGTCAGAACAAGCTTTGTGAATTAAGGCTTGGCAGCACCAAGGCCATGGGGCCAGTGGGCCATGGCACCACTGTGTATCTCATTTGTTTTCTTGTGTTGTTCCTCACAAAAGCTAGGAATACGGAATTGTTTCTATAAGAGTTTGAGTCATTTATTTAATCTAAATTCCCAACTGTGCATCTACATATGTGTTAGTACACCAGAAAATATCAAACAGTTTCCCAACCACATGATAGTTCTATATTAGATTTCAGGTGAGCCGTGGTGAATCTATAAAATAATGGTATCTGTATGTAGAGTTTTCCATGCAAGGACCTCGGTTTCAACGGTCGCTGGCTTGAAATGTGAAGAACCGCAAAACTGGGGAGGTAAACCTATTGAAATATAGATTAAACATACTTGGACAAGCATGGGGATAAGATTAATGAACATACCAGGAGACTTGGCTAGGGACAAAGTGACAAATGTTGCGATCCGAATGCTGGCGGAAAGGCAGCAAGGAACGCTTCTGACGCTGCAACCCAAAGAGATGCGGTTGCGGATGATCCGAGCGCAATCCCGGCGCCGATGTTCGCATCGAGCCCCCCAGCTGATATCGCTCGCTACGAGCGCTTCAGCGCAACAAATCACGCATCTGTTGGAGCATCGGCTCCAGAGCATCTCGAAGAAGATGACAGAGCAAGCAGAGGGATTGCTCGAGTTAAAGCTCTTGATGGAGAAACGATTGGTGGCGATTCCGATTTCTGAGGGAGCCGGATCTGCAGGCACAGCTGTTGCCCCCCGAGCCGAGACGCCTCCTCTGAAGCCAATCTCTTGGGTGACAATTTCAGACGCCGCGGTGACCACCCCTGAGACGAAGCCGTCCGATGATGCCGCCACGGATTTCGTATCTGCCGACGAAAGAGCTGATGATGCTGGTTCAGCTAGCTGACTGCACGTACACCAGGGTGATCAGTCCCGGCTTCACCATCATGCATAGCTTTGTTGGCATGCGTTTGCACGATGGCCGCATGCCCCCTGCATATTCAATCATTTCCACACCACGCCCTGTGTAAGAAGGCTTTGCGCACACACACACACATACACACATATATATATACACCCACGCACACACGCACACACGCACACACCGTAACGCCGACATACTCCCACACAACTTCTCGCACTGTGTCATTTAGTCATGTGCCAGCTTCCTCGCCAGTACGTCATTGCCAGCTTGTTTTCCGGCCTGCGCTGCGAGGCCACTGTATCAGGGCTTGCTGGACCCGAGCGCTATGCCAGATAGAATGCGGAAAAATAACATGCTTGATAAGATGCCAGATGTCAAATGCCAACTCTATAGGATGTCAGATACTGTAGAATGCCAGATGGAATGTCAGATGCAATGTCTGAATATATATGCCAGATAGAATGCCACATGGAGCGCCAGATAAAATCTCACACAGACTGGCAAATCTGATGTCAGATAGGAGTTACATGACAGACTGTAAGCCAGATAAAATGTCAGATAGAAGGTTAGATCAGATGCCAGAAAGAATGTCAGATAGAATGCCAGCTTCCATGCCAGATAGAATGTGCAAATATAGAATGCCAAATAGCATGACAAGTAAAATGCCAGAAATTATGCCAGCTAAAGTGCCCGACAACATGTCAGATAAAGTGCCAGTTGCACTGCCAGACAGGAATGTCAAAATATATGCCAAAGTGGGGATCACTTGACGAAAGTAGCTGTTTCTGTTGGCTAAATTCCTTGTCCTGGTTAGTTTGAATGTAATGGTAGCTCTTGTCTTGGCTATATAGTTTTTCCCGCCGGGTATCAAAGTCGGCCACAGGACCATGCACTGGCCTTAACGGAGTTTAGTAGCGCTAGAATTTAACACCCTGTTGCTCATGTTTTTTGGTGATTTTTTTTTGGTTTGACCACCTTGGTTAAGAAAAAACAATATCGAGGTAACATATATAGCGCAATTTTCCACACCATGTTTGAATTTGGTTGGCAAAGATCTCCTTGTTGGTGTGGATATCAGAGTTTGAGATCAGAGACTTGCAAGTTTTGAGGAAAGATCAGTCATCATGTGCTTTTTTTGACAAGATTGTTGTTGCTTTTATGTTTTATGGTCTTCTTGTCTTTGAGCATCCCTGTAGATTGAGTTGAATGTTTCAGTAACGCTAGCCCGCGTATATACATAATATATATATATATAGATGTAATACACACAAGAGAGAGAGAGAGAGATATATATTGTATATATTATTCCAGTATAAGTATGTACAAACCTGTTCTTGTTTAAGCAGCGGTGCTCATCCCCAGTTAGAATCACTGAAGGCACTAGAATATTAGAATGTGATTTTCAACTAGTAAGCAGTTCACAACCACGGCTACAACCCACTTCAAACTGGGATATTGTGGGTATTTCATTTACTTGTGGACATCTCATTTCCATGGTTATGAAGCAGTGGGCAGTGCCATTCTGCCACCATGGTTCCTGGCAGGCTCACTTCGCGCGCACACCACAGGCCGTAAGCATCGGTGATGCGGTCCAGATGTGTGGTGATGTCATTGGTCAAATGGCCCCAGTTGGAGGAAGTGGTTTGCAGAGGGCACCACATAACCAAGTTGGCTCATTGGGATGGATCAAAACCTGTCGTATCATTGTTGGAAAAAATGAAAAGA